ACACAATCCAGTCTTGTAGATCAGGTCCTGCCTTACTAACACAACTGCCACCCATCCTCCCTCATTAACAACATAGAGGCAGGTTTACAACATACAGGAAAATCACACAGTACCAGGTATCATTGCCTAGCCAAATTGATACACACATTTTTTGGGGGACATGATTCAAACCATGACAAGTTGATTCTGACTCATGGCAACTCCATGTATGTCAGAGTAGAACTGTGTTCCATATGGTTTTCAATGGCTGAATTTTTGGAAGTAGATCACCAGGTCTTTCTTCCAAGTCTCTTCCAAGACTCAAACCTCTAACCTTTCGCTTAGCAACTGAGAGCATTAACTGTTCACACCCCCCAGGGATAATACTTAATGTATGTTTTCTCTACTGATAGAGTTTTTAAACATATTTTAAAAGGGGAGTTCTATTCACAATTAGGAGGGAAAATCCAGCACCCCTTGCTTAAAATAGAAGGTCTATGTTAACTACACATACACGGAAACAAGGCAATGGCCCTCCATTCTGGTCAGGAGGATCTCTGTGCGTGGTTTGCTCTTGTGCGTTACAAAGAAAGAGAAGCAAGTGCTAGAGAAGTGTAAAAGATGTATTAGCACCTCCCCAGGGTTTTCTCTGTGATAAAGATTGAAAGAGAGTTAAGTGAAGAATGACTTCCTCCATAGGTGTGTGTTATGATTTGCCCTTGGGTCTGGATAGAGATGGGGCTGGCATTTTAGGAAATGCCATAGTCTCCCCCTACCCCAGGCTTAGCTGACCCAGTTCTGTCCCTGGTTTGTACCCTCTTCAGGTCAATCACGTCCGCACACGGGACTTTGACTGCTGCCTGACGGTGCCACTCCTGGCTGAGGCGGGGGACATCCTGGAGCTGGTGGTCAGCCGAGACCCGTTGGCCCAGGCCAGCAGGCCCCCGTGCACACCGGGCCCCCGCAGCCCCCGCAGCCCCCGCATGCTGTGAAGTGAGCTCATGGTCCGACACCCATGGAGGGAATCCTGGCTCCCAGCCAAACCTGTAGCCCAGCTGGAGAAGTGGCCACCTGTTCGTGCATCTGTCTGCTGGGCAGGCTCTGAGCCGGGGATGGGACTGTGTCTGTTCTCTGGTGCCACGGGGACTGGGTGCCAGGCAGGGGGCTCTCTGCTGCAGCTGGAGTGACATCTGGATCTTTTGTCAAGCCGGGTCTCCAAGATGCCGGGGAGGAGGGGTTGAGGATAGGCTTCTCAGCCAGAAGTCCCCACTGGACCTCCTTGGAAGGGTCACAGGCAGGGGGACCACCCAGCTAAGTGTAGGGAGTGTCTTCTCCCAGCCGAAACCATGGAGCTAGAATGAGCTTCCAGGGAGGGTGACTTCCCTCCAGGAAGGGGGGAGTTCCTTGTCCCAGGAGCTGAGCAATTGGGAGCTGGTGTAATCACGGACCCCCTAGTGCAATCATGGACATCCTGGGGATGCATCCACATGGACTCAGCCCCATGCATATCAGCACACCACGCAGGTGGTGAGTTTCCTGACAAGGGGCGCATTCAAGGTGAGGGTGGGAGGCCACATCATACGGAGCATGTGCCACCAGGAAGGATGCTGCTCTGAGTAGGAGCTCAGCCCTTCCCAGGCTCCAGAATGCTGGTGTTTAGGAATTGCATCTCCGCTTACGAGACTCTGAGCTGGAATATCTGTGATCCCAGGAAGCACTGGTCCTTGGTCTCAGAAAGTCGGTGATTCTGTCGTTCCAGCTTCTCTGGTCTGGAGCTCCTGTGATTTGAGACTGTGTTTCTGGGCTCCTTGGGCAGCTCAGGTTCTGGCTTCTGGCTCTCAGCCTCTCCTGTGTCTTTTTTAGGGCCCAGGGTCACTGACCCATCTGCACACACATGCCTCTCAGCCCAAGCCTCAATGCAGGAGGGGATAATTTTGGGACCAAGAGGTTCCACTCACCTGCCATTTCAATGAAGATTGGAAACCATGGAACTATGATACATATATGATACCTGTGATCACACAGTGCTTCTCCGATACCCACATCAGTGATCAGGGGGAGCGAGGGGGAGAGGCACAGAGATGAAGAAAAAGAGAGACGGGCTAGAAAAGATGGAACATGCTCTCCTGCCCAATGGCAACGGTGCCCAAGGTGGTCATTAAACCAGCTGCTATCCACTTGGCCCCAACTCATGGTGACCCCCATGTGTGTCAGAGTAGAACTGTGCTCCATAGGGTTTTCCATGGCTGATTTTTCAGAAGTAGATCACCAGGCCTTTCTTCCAAGGCATCTCTGTGTGATCTTAGGCAAGGGGCCCAGCCTTTCTGTGCCCCTGTCAAGTAGCAGGGCTGGACAGGACACTCAGGGGCCTCCAGGTGAGGAACGATGCATCCTGACTCCGACCAATGCCCCCCATCCCTCCTCAAACTCCAGGTCTCAGCCATCCTCCCAGACATATGCAGCCAGGCCTGTGATGGGTTTCCTCGCTGCTGCCAGGCCTTCTCATATGCAATATTTCTCTGGCTTCTTAGGGGAATTGTTCACCCCAGACTTGACCTTCCCCGACTCCCCTCCCTGGTGAACCTCCTGCCTGCCTATGCATTTTGGGTACAACCCCTGTGACATGCCCCCAGCCCCGTAAAGCTGTATTTTTCTCTAGCTGAATTAGAGCATATTCCTTGTAAAGTATTTTTCTATGTGGGGTTTTCTTAGGGCTTTTGGGAAGCACAACATGGCAAGTGGCTGCATTACAAAGGTCATTAGGGGCCTGTCTGGGGGCGTGGAAATCTTGCCCACCCAGGTTGCAGTGACTTGGGAGTGGGGTAGAGGCTATTAGAATGATTTTCTAAAAAAATAAAATTATTTAAATTGCACCTGGAGCAGGTGTCTATTTTTTCTTTTTACCATAAGTTGGCAAGAGTTAGCTTCTGCTTGGAGCACAGGCAGGATCTTGCGACATCTCACCTGCTTTTGATTGATTCATTCATGCACTCATTCCATTTACTCAAAAACTCTGCTGTGTCCTAAGCATCATTCTAGCCCCTGGGAATACAACATGAACAAGACAGATGAGGTCCTGTCTGCATGGTCTTATATTCTAGTGGAAGACAGACAAGGATAGTGACTTGGGGAAGGAGGTGGGCTTTAGCACAGGGGGTCAGGAGGGCTTCTCTGAAGGGGTAACATTGTATGATGAGACCTGAAAGACAGGAGCTGGCCCTGTGAAGACCTAGAGGAAGAGGGAATAGCAAATCCAAAGGCCCTGAGGTGGGAATGAGCTTGGAGGGTTTGAGGAAGAGAACGGAGGCCTAGAAGGTCTCAGGGGCCCAATCATGAGGCTTGGTAGGGAGTATGGCTTCTATTCTAAGTGCAGGGGAAGCCACCGAAGCAGGTGAGTGATGGTCTGCAGTAGGAAACTCTTTAGCCTGGGTGGGGAAGAAAGGGACTGGGAGAAGAGAGCCTGGGGCCTTGGCTGCTGCCTCCATCCCCACAGGCATCCAAGGCCGGGTCAGCTGAGTGGTTCTCAGGCCTCACCTGGGGACTCACAGCCCTGTGTGGGTGGAAGAGCGTCTTCTCACCAGCTGTGCAGGAAGGGAGTAAGCACCCATTCTGGGAGGGGTGTAACCAGAGGCTGGACAACTTACGTGGCGACTAAAAAATAAAAATAAAAACCAATTGCCAGCAGCATCGACTCCTACTCATGGCAACCCCATGTGTGTCAGCAGAGAACTGTGCTCCACAGGGTTTTCAGTAGCTGGTCTTTCGGAAGTAGATCATCAGGCCTTTCTTCCAAGGCACCTCTGGATGAACTAGAGCCAACAACCTTTTGGTTAGGAGCCGAGTGCATTAGCTGTTTGCACCACCTGGGGACTCCATAGTGTGTGCTTATTTGGCTAGGGCAGGGGAGCGAGGTGCCAACGCCTCAGTGTTGTGCATGGGGCATTGCTGCTCTTCCTAGTGCTGGGAGGGTGAGGGCTCAGGGGCACTTCCGGAACAGGGAGAGAGGTGTGGGCCAGGCTGGATAGACTGAGAGTGGGAGAGATCAGGACACAGCAGCCTGCTCTTTTGCATGAACTCGCTGGATCCTCCCAGTAGCCTCAGAAGTAGGATCTGTCATCATTGCCACGTTACAGATGAAGAAACCAGGTACAAGGAACTTGCCTGTTATGGATTGAATTGTGTCCCCTGAGTCATGCTGAAATCTCAGAATCTCACTATTCTGTCCTCAACTATGAAAATATAAGAAATTCCCACTTTTCTCTGTTCAGTTCTGACACCAGCTGCCCATGCAGCACTTCTCTTACCCTAGCCACTCGGAGCTAGCCCAGACCTCACAAGTTAAAAGGACACTGCCCCTCAGACTGCCAAACAGGCAGACACCAAGAGCAAGGGTGGGAACCCACACAACACCCTCACTTCTGACTTGCTGGCTACGAATTTGGGATTTCCCACTACCCCTTCAGGATACTAGCTACAAGCTCAGGAACCGCCTCTGGGCTCCCTCACTTTTGACCTGCCGGTTCCCGCTACTCCATTGGGGTCGATAATTCACTGGAACAACTCACAGAACTCACAGAAAGTGCTTTGCTTAAAGTTACAGCTTTTTTATAGCAAAAAAGGGATACAAATGAAGAGACCCATACCTAGGACAAGGTCTGCGAGGGTTACCAGCAGGAAGCTTCCATGTTCCAAGGGGCACACTACTCTCCCATGTATTTCAATGTCTTTTACCAACCAGGAAGCCCATGGAGCAACCGTATCCAAAGCTTTTATTGGCTTCATTACCTCAGTCAAACTTGATTGGGTCAGCCCTCCCCAGCCCTGAGGTCCGATGATATCAGGCCATGTGGTGGTCTTTCTGGTCAGGCCAGCCCCTAACCATTAGCACAAACCACCCCCCCCACCCCGACCCCGTGGGGTCTAGAGGTTTAGATAACAAAGGCATCTCAACTACTCAGGAAATTCCAAGGGTTTAGAGCTATCATTCAGTTTTGCTGAAGATCATTTTACCATTAGACTGTGTGGATCATAACAAATTATGGATAACATTGTAAAGAATGGAAATTCCAGAACACTTAATTGTGCTCACGAGGAACCTGTACATAGATCAAGAGGCAGTTGTTCGGACAGAACAGGGGGATACTGCATGGTTTAAAGTCAGGAAAGGTGTGTGTCAGGGTTGCATCCTTTCACCATACTTATTCAATCTGTATGCCGAGCAAATAATCCAAGAAGCTGGACCATATGAAGAAGAATGTGGCATCAGGATTGGAGGAAGACTCACTAACAACCTGCAATATGCAGATGACACAACCTTGCTTGCTGAAAGTGGACCTGAAGCACTTACTGATGAAGATCAACGATCACAGCCTCCAGTATGGATTATATCTCACACAAAGAAAACAAAAATTCTCACAACTGGACCAATCAGCAACATCATGATAAATGGAGAAAATACTGAAGTTGTCAAGCATTTCATTTTCCTTGGATCCACAGTCAACACTCATGGAAGCAGCAGTAAAGAAATCAAACGACTCATTGCATTGGGCAAATCTGCTGCAAAAGACCTCTTAAAAGTGTTAAAAGGCAAAGATGTCACTTTAAGGACAAAGGTGCGCCTGACCCAAGCCATGGTGTTTTCAATCGTCTTATATGCATGTGAAAACTGGACAATGAATAAGGAAGACCAAAGAAGAATTGATGAATTTGAATTATGGTGTTGGTGAAGAATATTGAATATACCATGGACTTCCAGAAGACATGGACTGTCTTAGAAGAAGTGCAGCCAGAATGCTCATTAGAAGCAAGGATGGGGAGATTTCATCTCACATACTTTGGACATGTTATCAGGAGGCACCAGTCCCTGGAGGACATCATGCTTGGTAAAGTAGAGGGTCAGTGAAAAAGAGGAAGACCCTCAACAAGATGGACTGACACAGTGGCTGCAACAATGGGCTCAAGCATAACGAGGATTGTGAGGCTGGCACAGGACCGGCCAGTGTTCCATTCTGCTGTACATAGGGTTTCTATGAGTTGGAACCAACTCGACGGCACCTAACAAGAGTTACCACTCAGAAACCAAGGACAAAGGCCAAATTATTTGAAGTAAAGTAATAGGAGTCCCTGGGTGGCACAAATGGTTAAGTGCTCCACCACTAGCCAAAAGGTTGGCAGTTCAGGTTCCCCCCCACCCCCCGCCGAGGCACCTCTCCCACATCCCTTCCTGGACCTCCAGGGCTTCTGTCCCTGCCTCCAGATGGGTAACCCTGGGCTGAAAAGAGGGAAGGAAGTCTCCTCACTCGAGCTTCTAAATGCTCTACGATGTCATCTCTAATCATCCCACAGTTTATTCCAGATGGGGAAACTCAGGCTCAGGTGATGTGTGTGTCATCTCTCAGCTCACAGAGCTGGGCTTGAATCAGTAGCCCTAGAACCTGCTGGAACAGACCCAGGTGTCTGAGGACCTGGATGCAAGTCAGGGTATTTACCGCATTGCTGTGTGACCTTGAACAAACTACTTCCTCTCTATGAGCCTTGGAAATAATACTCACCTTCAAGAGTATTCTGGGGTGGGATTCAAAGTCCTTTACAAACTGTAAAGCACCCGCCAAACGTGAAGAAAACAGTCTCACAAAACCAGAATCCACACGTGTCGGATTTTAAAAACGAAATGTTTATTTTCATGTTATAAGGTGATTACAAACTCCTCTAAAAAAAGCAAAGATGAATTTAAAATATCAATATACATATTTATCTAAAAAGCAAAAGAGAAAAAAAAACCCTGCAAAATACAGAGATTCATATCATAAAACATTTATACACAAAAGCTTGTATACTGCAAGAATGAATTTACACACCAAGGATCTTGTTCAAATACAAAGCTTCCTCTTCAGGAGATCTCCCGTTGGTTGATTTTGTTTAAAAAAGTTTAAAATATCTTAAAAATATTTTGAGGTTTAAAAACAAAACAAGTCCTGATGAGCCAGACATATTTCTGGAAGGAGGCAAGACCCACGTTCTCAGCTTTCCCTTGTGCTAAATACAGAGTCACAGTTGCTAGGAATTGGAAAATTAACTGGGTTAAAAAAAAAAAAAAATGGAGCCAACATGTCCACCTGAAGCCAAATATACATAACAAGATGCTCCATCCCGCAGGGAACATGTCCAATCGGTATGTAGTGACATCCACGCGAGAACAGTGAAAATAGCTTCCTATTGAAACAAGATGCATTCCGGGATCAGGCACTGGGGGAGAGGGAAAGAGGATGAGAGAAAGGGATGCTGTCCCCGGGCCTCTGGGTCGCCCACGCCCCTCTCCAAGTTTTGAAATCTGGGTTTTGCTTTTGTTTTGGGGTTTTGCATTGTTGGATTTTTGCACCAAGTGTTCTTTACAGCATCTGCATGGGCAGCAAGCCCTGGACCACCTGGGCTTGGGTCTGAGGGCTGGATAGGATCTCCAGGCACCTGAAGAGGGTCTCTCTTGGGTCCTTCTCAGGCTCACTGTCTGAGTCTTGTGGGGCAGGGAGGTGAGTCTGGCTTCAGCCCTGGCTGCCCAGAGCATTTCCCCATTCCACAAGGGCAGTGTTGGCAGATGCTGGCTGTGGTACAAGAGTGCCCTGGGGACATGTTCTCCCGTTGTGCTTCACCATGTCTTCTGGAGTGTGCTGGGGATGTAGGGGGAGAACCAAGGACCAGGGGATAGAGAGGAACTGCCCATCACACAAAGGATAGTGAGAGGGAAAATTAACCAAGACTGAGGCTGGGTATTTCCCATATGGCCCCAGGGTGAGTGTGGAGCCGAGGGGCCTTCATTTAAACATTGGCTAAGGAGTGTACTTCTTGCACACCAACTCACTTCCTTGGGCCTCAGTTTCCTTGTGTGCAATTCCTATCTCACAGAGGAACGTCAGGAAGAAGGAGGGTTGGTGTAAGACCAGGGTAGATGAGGCTTAGGGCGCCTGCCTCCCTGGGCCACAGCTTGGGGTCCAGCCAGCTAAGGATGGTTGAAGGGGGTGGGGTGTTGCTCACCTCACCCCTCAACACTGGGGGCTGGTGTTTCCTCTTCCGTGAAGGCTCATCCATGGCTGTCAGGGAGGGCACTGAGGAATGCCACAGATTTAGTCCAGGTCACACCTTCACACTCAGTGCCCCAGATCAGAAGAGCCGGAAGTTGTAGTTGACAAAGTCCAGTTCAGGTCCCAGCTTTCTGTGCAAAAGTCCTTTCCCTTCTCTGGGCCTCAGTTTCCCCATTTTTCAAGGGTGTTGGATTAGGGGCCTTGAGGTCTCTCCATCACTGGCCATCCCCGACCGCAGTGACTAACTCAGCTGATCTGCCTGGGGGGATTTATCCTAGGATCCTTTCCCATTTCTGCATCTTGAAGAAATTCTTTTGACTCCGTCCTCCCTCCCTTCCAGATCTGGCCATTCTCCAGAGACAGGTGGACTAGAGTCATGAGCTCTAGTGAAAAGTTTCATTTATATGGAGACATAAAAGTTGAGCATTGTTACACATTGTACTCATAGAGCCAAGTTCTGGAGGTTCGCAAGAGCCAAGGGTTGGGGAAGAGGGATTGTATTGGAGACAGGTGCCCCAGGAGGGGGTTAAGGACCGGGCTTGGGAAGAGTGGCAACCTCCTTCCAGGCAGAGCCTGGTGGCTTGGAGACTTGGTCTGCATGTGTCTTTGGTCTAGAATTTGGTCTGGGAAACTTATAAGAAGACGCCTTCCTCAGGCGATTTCCAGAATGTTGCAATTTGCCTACCAACCCAAAATACTGCAGCCTCTCACCTAGGGTGCAAATCCCCGGTGGGAGGTGGGGGGAGATGTTGCGGACTGAAATGACCATAAATGCCCAGGTAGCCACAGCTCGCCAAGCCCTGCTACTCACCCACATGTCACCTGTCCCCAATCATGACAGTGGTTAGTTTACTAAAGTTCCATAAGACAAAAGAAAATAGGTCACATTGCTACTCAAATTAGGACAACACAGTAAAATAAAACCAGACATGGCGGCAAACATAAATACACAGAAAAACAGGAACACGTTAGAATTGTTCACGCTTTGGAATAAGATTGGATGCCGTTTGGCAGAGTATATAGCTTTGGAAACAGCAAATGTGTATACTTGCCAAAGACGAGGTTTGGCATTGCCTCTGCCCTTGGGAGAGGGACACCAAGGCTCCTCTACTTCCTGCATCTGGTGGATTCCGGGGTCCAGAGAGCTCCTGCTCGGAAAACCTGAGACAGACTTCACTCTCCACACCCCTCCAGGCAGTCGCTGCCTTTGGACTTGACAATGTTTCTGCTTAGTCTAGACTCTGAACTTGCAAGCGACTGTTTAAATGGCACGGTTTATATCCAAATGGGGGCAAGTTGAGAGTGGTGTCTGTAGGTGTGATTTTAAAGGTGTCGTACCTTCTTTCCTGGTTCAAGAAGGAAGTCCACTCTGCATAAGGCTGTTGGTCAAGCCAGTTCTGGGGTGCCAGCCCCCTGGACAAGTCCAACCTCCTCGATAACTCTCCCCTACCCATCTCCTCAGTCCCCACATAGAGTATGTCTGACACCATCTATTGAAGGGTTTTGAAATGGAGAGTTTTATTATATCCCAGGGCTGCACCGAGGGCTGCACTTGGCCCTGAACTGGGAGGAGGAGGGGAAGGAGGAGAGCACTTCCTGCTTTGAAGAGCACTTGATCTGAATCCAAGATCCAACCTCAAAAGACGTTCTTGGCATTCCTTGCTAGGAGCTAGGGCAGCCCCGGGAATGTGTCTTTAACAAAAGCTGGTCAGGGGTTTCCCAGCCTCTGGGAGGTGAGGTCAGAATTGAGGGTGGGGAGATGAGGAAGGAAAAGCACCCCTAGCCACAGCAACACATCCAAACGCGGGCCCCATGCCCTTTGGTCCACATGCCCTCCTGCCTCACCCCGTCCCTAACTACATACACATCAAGTTTACCACAGGCAGCTCCCAGAGGAGCAACCTGAATCTACCATGTTCCCTATCCAGTGCAACAGATACACCCAAGGAAACCCAGGAAGGACCGCGCCCTGGCCTTGCCTCCTCTGAGTCTAGTATGGAGCCTCACAACGGCTCCCAAACCCAAGCTCATTCTCACTGGCTCTCTCAGATCTCTCGCTTCTCCCTCTTAGATAAATGGTGCTGACAGTCCTACACACAATCCTCTCTCAAATTCAAAGTAGAAGGTGGGATTTGGCTCCTGGTGCAATGGTTTCCACTGCTCTCAGAATCAGGCTCTTGAAGAAGGCCTCATCTTTCTTGGAGGGATTGGTTCGGTATTTTGGCATCTCTTTGGGGCTCAGGACCAGTTTAATAAGGTGTCACCTTATGACCCTACTTTCCTTCAGCCCCTTTGGATTTGGCCTGCTGGTGGGGCCCTCTCCCCTGCTGTTTTCTTCCACCTGAACCAGGCTTTGGAAGGTACTACACCTTTGAAGTAGGTCTGCTGCCTCAGGGAAATTCCACCCTGGGTGTTTGGGGCAGAACATTCTGCCAGCTACACAAGCACCGAAGAATTGCTTTTGAAATTAGATCTATTGCTGGCAAGAAGATCAATTCAAGCGGTCAAGTGTACAACAATCTCTAAGTGTATATATAGTTAGATGTAAAAAAAAAAAAAATACAGAGAAAAATTTAACAAGTTCCCATAAAATACATCTAATTCGGTACGAAAGCTCTGTCGCTCCCCAGATATCTGCCCGGGGTGGCGGGGGTTCTTTTTGTACAAAATATCCCCAGATCAAAACAAAACACATACGCACAACACACACACACACACACACACACACACAGACACACACACACACGATAACATTTTCTGTGACAATTAAAAAAAAAAAAATCCTAGTGCAAATGTAAAGCTCTGTAAACCTGGTCCTATGAGAATCTAATGTTAGTAAACAGCAGGAAAGCGGCCTGTCGACCCGAGAGCTCACATCATTGTCTCCACAATGATGTGGGTCGGCTTCATGAGAACGCCATTGACAGTGGAGGACGAGTTGTAGGGGAGGGCCCCTTCGTGCTCCACAGCCCAGCGGTTGGGTTCCCTCGGGGTCAGCAGGTACTTGAATCGCTGCAAAAGGAAGGGAGGAAAAATCAGAGGCCTGGTTCCCTCATCACCTTGTCACCTCGTCATCTACCTCCTCTGGTCCTGCTCCTGTGCTGTGTGGCCTTCATCCAACTGCTCTCTCTAGCCAAAACCAAACCTATCGCCGTCGAGTCAATTCCGACTCATAGTGACCCGACAGGCCCCTCCCTTTTTCATCCTCTTGGGAAATGAAGGGGCTGAACTACAGTGCCTTCTAGGCTTGAATCAGGGCAGAATTCCTGGCCAGCCTCTGCTTACATGTCTGGGGGCCTCAACCTCCATGCTGTGGCTTCTTTCTCCTATGGAGCTGAAATATGCCTCCCTGCCAGTCCCTTCCCTTGATTTCTCTGACTTGCAAAGCAGCCAAGTTTCAGCAATTTGTCTGTCTGTCCTACTTTGGTGGTTTGTGTGTTGCTATGATGCTGGAAGCTATGCCACCGGTATTTCAAATACCAGCAGGGTCACCCATGGTGGACAGGTTTCAGAGAGCTTCTAGACTAAGACAGACCAGGAAGAAAGACCTGGCAATCTACTTCCAAAAATTAGCCAATGAAAACCCTATGGATCACAATAGAACATTGCCCGATACAGTGCTGGAAGATGGGCTCCTTAGGTTGGAAGGCACTCCAAATACGCAGTGGCCACAACAATGGACTTGAGCATACCAATGTTCATGAAGATAGAGCAGGTCCAAGCAGAATTGCGTTCTGCTGTACAGAGGGGCCACCGTAAATCAGAGCCAACTTGATGGCAACTAACAACAGGCTGCATAACTGTCTTAAGCCTCCCATGACTTTCACCTTCCCCAAGGACAAACTCAACTCCTCTCACCCTCCCACAAGCTACTTTTCTTGCCTTATCCCAGAGAGGGCTCCTGACTCTGCAGGCATTCCACTCTTCTCCTTATGCTTCGTCTTAAAAGAGCAGGGACCATATAATCTTGAAACCTTAAATCAAAAATATCCCCTGAAAGTCTTCTCAAAACTAAACAATAGTCTGGCTAAACTAGTGAAATATGTCTGCCTTGAGCATTATGTTCTTTTAAGAACTATCTATATGGAATCAAGGAGCCCTGGTGGCACAGTGGTTAAGTGCTCAGCTGCTAACCAAAGGGTTGGCAGTTCGAACCCACCAGCAGCTCTGCGGGAAAAAGATGTGGCAGTCTGCTTCCATAAAGATTTACAGCCTTGGGAACCCTACAGAGTAGTTCTACCCTGTCCTATAGGGTTGCTATTAGTTGGCATCAACTCAATAGCAATGCATTTGGTTTTGGATAAGGGATCAAAGTGACAAGAGCAACTTGAAAGATTAGATAGGACCTTGGGGGCAGTGAGTTTATGTTAATGGGGGAGGAACAACTCGGAAAAGGAGGGTGAGAATGTTTGTACAACTCAAAGAATGTAATTGGTGTCACTGAATTGTACATGTAGAAACGGTTGAATTGGTGTATGTCTTGCTGTGTATATTCTCAGCAACAACAAAATAAATTTAAAAAAAAAGTTAAAGACAAAAGTAAAAAACAAAAACAAAAAAAAACCACATGGGGATCACTGCTTGTGCTTCCCGCAGAGAGGAGCCAGAGGGTGGGCTGGATTCAAATTCTCAGACCACTTCCGGGCAGGGTAATTTCTGTGCCCTGAGTTGGCTACCTGATCATGGAATCAATGTGGAAAAGGAGCTCGCCCCAAGGACACCCAGAAAATCAATGGTAGAACAGCTACTTGAACCCAGGGCTCCTGCTTCCCAGTTCACCTCTGGCCAAGTGTCCATCCAGAGACTTAAATAGGCCAGCAGCTGCAAACAAGTAGCCCTCTAGGCATTTTACCTTCTATCTAGGTGTACTAGTTTCTTTTATAATCAGGTGCTTATTAAAAGCTATAATAATATTTCACTTAAAAATCCAGATTTCTATCTTTTCTTGAAAAACTCCAAGACCTGGCAACCTCGGGTCCACACTCCCTCCTGGCCAGGACTGAGAAGCATCACTGCCTGTTGCTGATGGAGGGCGCCTTCTCCTGTCCACTGCCAGCAGCCAGGGGGCTTCCTGGTCCCTGAAGGGATCAGATTGGAGAGCCCAGGTGAAGGGGCCAGGGGGAAACGCCAGCAGGAAGTGGCCAGCTTCTGCTCCTCTTTCCCCACTCTCCCCAGTCTCAACATCTATAAAATGGGTGTGAATGCGGAGGTACAGCCAGGAGGCAGTACCCCAGGGTTGGGTGGGGGGGCACGTAGGCTCCACTTGGACGGGAGGCTCAGGTGCCACAGTCATCCCAGGACAGAGAGAGCTGGGCTGGCCAGGGTCATGGCTGGGAGGTACCTGGAGACACCTTGGCAACCTGTGTAGGTGGGAGCCCCTGAGGAACACGGGCAAAGACAGGGGGCTCTGCTGGCTTTACAGGGGTTTGGTTAACGGTCAGGTCAGACTTCTAGATATGGAAAGGGTGTGAGTCGAGGGTAGACTGGGATTCCTCACCTGTGCCCTCCCCCTTCCCCCATGCCAAGCCCACGCTGATCAGACCTCTAAACTTCGGTTGTGCCAATACTGTGTGGTGCAATAGATCCTTTTATATGGCCTTTCTTGCCATGGCCTTATAACTCCCACCAAATGATTGGGTGGGACTATGCAAATAAGGGGCTTGTGGCCCACCAAGGGGATTGGATATCTTGTCAATAATGCAAATAAGGGGCATGGCACCTTTGTAAGGGTTGGACCATGCAAATAAGTTACATGGAACCCTAACAAGGGAACTGGTCAGTTTTGCCATCCCTCTAGGCTTAAAATGAGCCATCCCAGAGGTGGAAAGGGGGGACCTCACTACCACCAAGAAGAAGAGATGGGAGTGGAGCACGTCCTTTGGACATTTGGTCCCTGTGCTGAGTACCTCCGAGACCCAGAAGAGAGAGATAGCTGTGACACTGGAGATGGAGCAAGACGTAGAAAAGGAGAGGCAGAGAATCGGCAGCAGCAGAACCAGGAGACTGGTGTGAGATGGCATGGTGGGCTTCCCAGCCCACAGAATGAGGTGGTTATAATCGGTGTGCTGATCCACAGAGCAAGAGAGCTGAGAATCTTTGGGCAGGAGGCTTCCTGGCAGAGTGGGGTGCCTCTGGGCACTTGGCGGAATAGCTAGGCGTGCCGACCCATGGAGGGAGAGACCTGAGCACCTTTGGGCCGAGGCTTTTTGGCAGAATGGGTGCTCTCGGGCACTTACTGGCAGAGCTAAAAAGCTTTGTAAAACTTGTCCGAGCAGGGCAAGGACCGAGGGGCAGAGGGACTAAAGGGTTGAGAGGCCAAGGGCCAGAGAGAGGCCTGTCTGCGGGCACAGCTAAGAAGAAGGTAAGAAGAAGTTCTGATCGAAGAATTTTATCCTGAGTCATTCCTGATCCTGAATTGTAACTGTTACTTCCCTAATAAACCCCATAACTGTTAGTACGGTCCGTGAGTTCTGTGTGGCCATTGCAACAAATTACTGAACCCAGCAGAGGCGTAGAGGGTGCCATGGGAGGGACGGCTGGTGTCAGAACTGGTGAAAAGTTTGGAGGGTGGAGGTATGTTTGACCTCCACCTCATAGGAATCAGCTTTGGGCTGATGTGGATAATGGTTCTCTCTCCTTCCCCTTGTGAAGTCAGACGAGGAGGTCTGATGCCGCTGCCACACCATTTTTATAGTTAGCGCCATTTTTTTTACATATTGTAAAAATTTAAGTTAGCGGGTGCCCCACTTCCTCGACCCAATATTTGAAATATGTCATTGCTATGGGCACTGACAAATCAGAACAGACATCTAGACACCCACCTGCTATGCCCAAATTAACCCTTTAGTTTCTGGGTGAAGACATACTGGAAGCTCCCAGGAAGGGGCTGGGTTGGCATGGAATATTTAGGGGAGAAGCTGGGGTGCTCAAAGCAGTAGCTATTACCCCCTGACTTTAACAACTGATAGCTCATTCAGTGTCTGACTGAATATTGGGGTCTTGCTGAAAGAAAAAAAGAAGACAATGGGGGTCTAGCGCTCCAGGAACACCCGGGGGCTGACTGGCTCAGATACACCCACACCCCAGCTTCATAGTTTCCTCCCTGCCACTCCCCAACTTCCTCAGTCTCCGGAAGGCTGGTCCCTGTGGGCTCAGTCTCCCCTTTCCCCTACCAGGCCTGGCTGTCCCAACCCCACCTTCAGGCCATCCCCTTGTGATAAGGAAACGTGCCCCGGCCTGAGGAGGAGCCAGGCCCAGGACATCCTGGCTCCAGATTTTTAAAAAGAGAATAACAATAAAACAGCTCAGAACAAAACAGGGACATCTTGGAGCCTGCCCAAGCCCAAAGGTTAAGGGCGATTCTGAGAAAAAGATTTCTTGGAAAGAGCCCTGGCTTTGCCAGGGCCTGGAGTCTCCAGTATTGTTAGAGCAGTTTCTCAGGAAAGCTGGGGGAGGGGTGGAGGGCTGCAGGAGCTGAGATTTGGGGTACAACATGGGCTGGCCCAGGGGCCTGGGCATAGCGAGGTTTGCCCTGGGCAGAGGTAGCTTCCCAAGGTCTGGCTGCAGAGCCGGCAGCAGATCCTGGGGCAGGACACTGGCATGTGCTGGGCTTACCCTAAACTTGGCTCCACAGCAAGGGGAGGCAACTGGGCAGAGCTCAGCTTCATCCCAGTGCCTGTTGCCCATCTCCCCACCTTACGTACCCGGCTCCCACTGCTCCTGGATAAAGCCTGAGCTCTTTAGTGGGGCACTTAAAGCCACGTCCATCTCTCCAGCTTCATCAACCAAACCTCAGGGCTTGTTGCTGCTGCCCAAGCACTGTCATACCTCCCCACCTATGACTGCAATGTGCCCCATCCAGGAACACACTTCCCTCTCATACTCTCTGCCTGGCAAATTCCTCCTCTTGCTCAAAGGCCTGCTTTGAAGGCCACCACACAGCCTCCTCTGATGTAAATTGTACCTCATCCCCGTTTTCCCATGTTGTACTCTCCTTCCCACAATCTCAACAACTCCATCCAGCAAGACTCAGAGAGGGCAAGTGACTGGCTCAAGGTCACACAGCAAACTGAGAACCAGCCAGCCTTCCCGACTCCCAGCTTTGGGGCCCCCGCGTGCTCACTCACCACGGAGAGAGGGCCTCGTGCCTGGCAGAGGGAGATGAGGAACACCAGGGGGATGCACACCATGGAGGACAGGGCCAGGCCCCAGCCCAGCCCAATGGCCCAGTCAGGGTACACGTAGACTTTGTTATAGGTCAGGGGCTGGTACTTGACGAGAGAGAAGATAAAACATCCCTGCGGAGAGATGGAGGCAGTCAGGGGGGTCCTTGGCATGGGGGCGAGGGGGCAGGGTAGTGGGGCCATGGGCCACAACCCGAGGGGAGGGCCTTTCTCCTTGGGCAAGGACCAGCTTTATGCCTTGAATCCCTCTCCACCCAGCTACTGTAAGGATCTCTGTTCAATACAAATCTGACCACGTTGCTTTCCTACTTAAAATCCTTCTATGACTCCCCAGTGCCTTCAGGATATGGTCCAAACTCCTCAACTTGGCCAGCGAAGACTGCCAGGAGCTGTGATCCTTCCCCTCTTCTCTCTTCTGTCTCCCATGCCCTCTTCCGTGTCTATACTCCAGCCACCTGACTTATTCCAGCTCCTCAGCCACCTGCCTCAGGGCCTTAGCACAGGCTCTTCCCTCTTTTCCCCTCCTCTTCACCTGGCTGATGCCTTTCCATCCTAACTTAGTTCCAGTGGCCCTGCCTCTTGGAAGCCTTACTTGCCCTGGCCCAACCCAGACTCAGGCACGCATACTTTTCCTTCCCAGAACTACCTGTGGTTATAGTCACTTCTTCAGCACACACCTCCCCGATCAGACCCTGAGTCCATGAGGGCGTCTGTGATGTCCCCCCGCCATTTCTCTAACACCTTGTGCAGTTCCGGGTACACACGGTGAGTGTACAATAAATGACTGCTGCTGCACTAATCAAAGGCTTCCTCTCCCCTCCCCACCGCTGCTGCCTGCCCATCCCTGAGTCACAGACAGCAGGGTGAACCCTAGGCCCAGCCACCAGGACAGGGTGTGGCCCTGGACCTTGCCCCGCTCAGTGACACAGCCCAGCCCTGACCCAGGCTAGTGGTACCGCCATTAGCGCCCACAAGTGGGGAGGCAGCTGGCGTCAGCTCTGGTCCTCAGAACCTGCGGAAAGCCCACACTTCCCTAGGCGAAGAGCATTTCGGCTGGCTAGAGGTCAAGGCTTTTGCTCTGGTCGGAATTGGACTATCTCTGAGTTTCACCTCAGGTTGTCTTGGATCGATCCACAACATGAAAATGACTTAAATCCTCATTGTCTAATAACTACAGTTTGATGAATGAAACCGGTTTAAATAAACCTACTTAAGTACAGAATCGACGATGGGGGGCAGGGAGAGTATTAGGCTCCAGACACCTTCTGTCGGGTACCTACCGGATGCCTGGGCTGTGTCAACGTTTCTGTCTTTATGTGTGAGGCTGTGGCTCAGGCAGGGCGATGCAAGCACAGAGATGCTTCGTACCCACACAGGACCCGTACCTGCCCATGCCACGCTCCTCCTCCCACAAGGAGGGCCTCATCCCACTCTCCCAGAAGACTGCCTACTGCTAATTTAGCCAACTCCTGAGGGAGGGAGAGAGGAGACAACTGAGGGTCAGAGGTGAGAGAAGCTGCCCACAAACAAACATGAAGTGAGGATGAGAACACGGGCTTGAACCCAACTCACTTCATCTCCAACAACGTCTCACTAACTGTTGTGGTTATTGGCTGCTACGATTACTTATTTTTGTGGAGAAAATAGTCTTGGGAAAACATGTACTGCAGGTGAAAAGGGCATAATCATATTAAATAATAACAGTAATGACCTCGAGTTGCCAGCTGCCCCTCAAGTCCCACTTAAGAGCCTCCTCATTTTACAAAGGGGGAAACCGAGGCCCAGAGAGGGGAAGTGACTTGTGAGTTAATGGCGATGTTAACTTAGTCTGCCCTAGGAGCAGAGGTCACTGAGGGGAAGGCCCATTTATCCCTCAGCGCCAGTTCCTAAATGCAAGGCACATCCCTGCCGTTTGTTCTCCCCGTGCTGTGAGCCAACAATGGCACAGCAGCTGCTGTCTTTCCCTGGGAGAAGCTCTGAAGCTCATAACTGGTTTCAAACACCGATGGTTAAGCAGCTTTTTCTGTAAAGGAATTCCCGTTTGCCAGAGCCCGAGTAGCACCTCGAAGGAGGGTGCCTGGCACACTCCAAGGCCACATTTCAAGATGGAGGGGCAAGATAGCCCTTGTGGGAAGAGGAACATGGCATGTCACTGCCCTTGGGTCCTGGGCTGGTATACAGCATCCTCGTGTTTAAGATAACCGAGAGCAAACTTCTGCTGAGACTTCCCCTCCCTAAGACACCCCCAGCCCATCACAGAAACATTGTATTTCCAATGTCCATGACCTGTCTATTAGGTGTTCCAACGGATTCTCAACTTAACCAACGACCCAGTCTGAGCTCATGAGCTCTTAAGGGCTTGGGGGAAAGGTTATGTGCTCAGTCTTGTATCTCTGAATTTCTCAGAGTGTCCCAGATACACCTTCCTCTTCCAGAACTCTGTGCCTTTGCACAGGCTGGTTCCTCTGCTAGAATGTCCTTCCCGACAGTCTCCTCCTTATCCTTCAAAATCCAACTCAAGGTAACCTTCTGGGAGCAGCCTTCCCCACTCTCCCAGGCAGAGCTCATCACTAGGATTGCTACTGGCCAGCACTCAGCAGATGCTGAATGGACGCTGATGAGCAGGTGACAATGTCAGGAACCAAGGAGAAAAGGCCACCCACAGCCAGGCAGGATGAAACTCACAACACAGAGAACTGGAGTGACAACAGCCCAGCTGTACTTCATCCAGGGCCCAGGCCGATAGCCGATCATGTCCTCAATACCGTTATAAAAGTTATCAGCGCCTGCAGGAGACAGAGGTGGGTACAAGGTGACATAGTGTCCAATGCCAGTGTCAGCCCTGGGAACGGCACAGCAGAGGATCCAGGGCCATGAGGGGCACCTCTGGGGTCTGATCCAGGCCTCTGTACTTCTACACCATGTAGACTCAAAGTGGCAGATCCTTGTCTGAAATTACCTGAAATTGCCTATCTTTTTCTGGCAACAACAGACAGACCTCAAATCCTGGCATGGCCAATCCAAGGTCTCAAGGAGGTTGGAATGGACCATTCTTGATCCTCAGAGCAATTAATCATATACCGCTGCATAGCCAAGTACGTGTTTGTCAAAAAAAAATAGTCACACCTTGCACCCTCAACATTGGGAAAATCTGTAGTGTGGCTACAAAGATATTATTCGCATGGCAGAAGATCAATCTTGAAAGGAAGGGTCCAGGTAGGAAGGGCCTCTGTGTTCTACTCAGGCTGCGTCCCTATTAGAATTCTCTGTGTCTGAAGTTTCTAAGTACAGTCCCAAAGGAGAAACTTGAGAAAGGATATGCAAAAATCTGTACTCACCATATACCCAGGCAATAGTAACACATTCAAAGAATGCAACCCACAAAAGGCATACACCGCTAGCTGCATAGTAGTCAAAGAGTTGAAACACATACATGCCACCCTGGGAAGAAAAAACCACAGAGAAGGCCTATTTGTTATTCGGTATCTAATTCCCTTCATATATAAACAGCTCTGGCATATCAATAAGAAATAAAATAAAATAAAATAAAACCCAAGCAAAAAATGAGTAAAAGCTATGGCCAGGCAGTTTAAAGAGAAACACGTAAAAACACGCTCAACTTCATATTTAAAAAATTTAATGAAAAACACACATACAGAAAAATGAATGCAAAACAACATATATTTCCTAACGAAAAATGATGGCCTCACTAAAGCCTGCTTTCAAAGGTGGTGCTTAAAACCAATTGCAGCAGACACAGAAGACTTCAGTGGCATCCAGCTGCTCAGTGCATGGAGCTGTGATCTGCCTTTATGGAAGGTTTTCTCAAAGACATCTCCAGAAAAACATTTATTTTTACTCCTGGTAAGTAAAGTGGTGACTAAGAGGTTTGGGGGTGATTATTAAATGCAACCCTTTGCTAGAGAATATGGGGAGGAGGGGAGAGCATGCAATCTTCTCTTAGTCTAATCATCTTTTGCTTTCTGGGCTAGCCTTTCACTAGACATGCTGACCTACTGATGCCTCTGACACTCTGGCTCTCTTCCTCTCTCTGCTTCTTTTTCCCATTCTGAACTGAGTCTCCCTGGGGCCCCTACCACCCTGAACAGTGTGCCCTCCTCATCAGCCAGATACCCCCACGTCACAGGCCTTGGCCCTGTGCAAGTGGTCTGCAGTAAGATGCTGGCCTGAGAATTGGTGTATCTACACCAGGCACCGCCTGTGTTCTTTCCCTGGGAAGTCTGTATTAACCCTTGCAAATGGCTCCACCAGCCTTCCCAGGCCTGAAAAAGGCTCTCACACAAAATCGTGGGGGACAGAGCTGTTGTTATAATGGATTTTGGCCCAAGCTGGCCTTCCCTGTGCCTTCCAGGGCAAGGGAGGGAGGGGCCAGAAAGCAGAGAATATCTGCAGTAATAGGTAAAGGGGGCAGGGTAGTTTACGGGTTGAGTAGACCACATTTGGGTCAGCTGTTCGGTCCTGAGCCTCCTTGTGCTACCTCCAGGGTAGGCCCCCTGAACTGGGTGGGGGGCTGGGTGATCAACCCACCCTCGTTCTCTCAACCATTTCCTGTCTCCACTAGTGGGCAGGGGTGGACTTGAACTGCTCTGAGGGTGTATCAGGGCACCAAGCCTTGCAGAGGGAAGTCTTTTGTGCCAGGTGGGAGAGCCACTTACCTCTGTCACCATTGTCAGCCCCAGCAGGTAGCTGGCGCAACACACGAGGGCGATGAAGATTTCCCGATGCTTCCTTAGGAAGGATGGGTAAAGGTCAACCAAGGACGTGATCTGTCCTTCAACTTCAACAAACTGAGGAGGGAAGGAGATGGGAGAGAGAAACAAAGAGAATGGCTGAGTGTCAGATGCCCACTGACACCCCCTGCTCAGAGGAAGGCTTGGGACAAGCGCAGCGTGGCAAGGGGCAGAGAGGTGGGTCTCCGTCCGGAATCTGCTGGTGGGATCAAGTCCAAATGTGTGAACCTGGTCCTCCAGGCTCTCTCTATGGGGGAAGTCTCATCTGCTGCTCCTGGAGCCACGCCCTGCACCATGTGGTCACCACACACTGCACTGGCCCACTGACCCGCGTGAAACCAGTTACCCAGTTGCCATCAAGTTGATTTTGACTCATGGTGACCCCATGTGTGCCAGAGTAGAACTGTGCTCCATGAGGTTTTTAGTGGCTGATTTTTCGGAAGTAATCACCAGGTCTTCTTCCTAGGCACCTCTGAGCAGACTTGAACCTCTAACCTTTTGGTTAGCAGCTGAGCGCGTTAGCTGTTTGCACCACCCAGAGACTCTGACGCACACACAGCTTGACAAATATTGCACACCTCTACATCTTCATTTAGGCTGCTCCCACCACCAGAATGCCTTTCCCTCATCATTCAAGACTCATTTCAAGAACTGCTACTTCTCTGAAGCTGCTTCACCCTGGTACACCTGAGGGAAGGTGTGTGTTCACTTGACTGCCTCCCCCATAGTCCTGGCCCTCTCTGAAGGCATGGGTAGTGACACACTTGCTTTTGGGCCTCAAGTGCCTAGCTCAGGGTCAGGCACACGTGGCTGCTCAACAAATACGTGACGAACGAGTAAGTGGACCTCAGCACTAACTTGCTGGGTGCCCCAGGGCAAGTCTGAGCCTTGGTTTTTCCCATCAGTGTAACAGAGGGCATTTGTCAGGCTTATGCAGTGATCCCCTTCGGGGATTGTGGGTCCATGCGAGAATTTTACAGGCATGTGTGCACACCCCCAGGCCTACACGTGTAAACCAAGTGGTGCCCACGATTCCAGGCGTCACATGGGCTCCAGGAACCCATCCGGGACTCCCAGAGGTAAAGAAGGCAATGTGAAAAAGCCCACCCACAGGGAATGCTCTAGGACTGGACGATCTAAATCTATCTTTTCACTTGATGCTGTATCGTGGAAACTGTTCCCTATCACTCCATAGAGAGCCACCTCATTTTTCAAATGGCTGCATAACACTCCATCCTACGATACAGCGTCAGGGCATTTAGGTTGTTTCCCATGTCCTGCAGCAAGTCTCAAGGCGCATGTGCACGGGCATCTGCAGCACAGTCTTAGAAGTAAAACTGCAAGACTAAAGGGCCTGTTCTAGGACATTTAGGAGTTTAACAAACAAAAATCCTCACAACTGGACGGATAAGCAACATAATGATAAATGGAGAAAATATTGAAGTTGTCAAGGGTTTCATTTTACTGGGTCCACAATCAACACCCATGGAAGCAGCAGTCAAGAAATCAAACTACACATTGCATTGGGCAAATCTGCTGCAAAAGACCTCTTGAAAGTGTTGAAAAGCAAAGATGTCACTTTGAGGACTAAGGTATGCCTGACCCAAGCCATGGTATTTTCAATTGTCTCATATGCATGTGAAAGCTGGACAACGAATAAGGAAGACAGAAGAAGGATTGACGCCTTTGAATTAGGGTGTTGGCTAAGAATATTGAATATACCATCGACTGCCAGAAGAACGAACGGGTCTGTTTTGGAAGAAGTACAGTCAGAGTGCTCCTTGGAAGAGAGGATGGCGAGACTTCGTCTCACGTACTTTGGACATGTTATCAGGAGGGACTGGTCCCTGGAGAAGGACATCATGCTTGGTAACGTAGAGGGTCAGCAAAAAAGAGGAAGACCCTCAATAAGATGGATTGACACAGTGGCTGCAACAATGGGCTCAAACATAGCAATGACTGTGAAGATGGCGCAGGACCGGGCAGTTTTCGTTCTGTTGTACGTACGGTCGCTATGAGTCGGAACCGACTTGACAGCACCTAACAACGACAACAAACGGCATGCAGAGCATTTTTCATTTGGATGGCTACTGCCAACGCACCCTACTAGCCAACTGGATTCCTTTACACGTTGAAAGGCTAAAGCCTCGTCCGTCTGTTGTTTGATCGGAGAGGCTTTTGTGAAGGATGTTTTCCTAACATTCCACAGCATAAATCTAACCAGTTGCTCCTTTGGGACGCGTTACAGCAGGAGCAAGGAAAGGAGTACCAAAAAAAGGATAAAACCTCTTTCATGCGCCAAAAGGGACCGGGAGATCACACTTTGTTGCCAAGAATGCAGAGAAATTATGGCTGAAGGCTCTCCGAAGTGGCCGGAGAGAAGGGATTGGCTTTTTGACCCCTGACTGATACGTCAGCTGAAGGAGTTTGGAACATAAATAGCAACTTAACTATAGCAAACCCGCAGCTCAAACGTGCGTCTTAAGCTTCAGTGGGAGTTACAATGAAGGGCTCTTTCCTTTCCTGAGGTGGAGAATTAGAGACAGGAAGGTTCAGCCTCACTGGTAACTCAGGGCCAAGATTGGCACAGACACCTGACTTCCAAGTGTCTTTCACGGAGAACTCTGCCCCCATCCTGCACCTGGGTGCAAATTCAAGCACCCTCACTTAATAGCCATGTGACCCTGACTTCTCTGAGCCTCAGTTTCCTCCTCTGTAAAATGGGAGCCTCTCGCTTACTCAGTAGGGATGTTGAGAAAGAACAGGAATTCTAAGGGTAAATTGGCAATTGCAGTACCATGCGCACGTAGTTGTTAGCTGCTGTCGGGTTGGCCCCTGACTCACGGCGACCCCACGCACAATGGAACAAAACATTGCCCTGTACTGCGCCATTCCCATGATCAGTTGCAGACTGGACCACTGGGATCCATAGGGTTTTCATCGACTAATTTTTGGAAGTAGATTGTCAGGCCTTTCTTCCTAGTCCATCTTAGTCTGCAAGCTCTGCTGAAACGTGCTCAGCATCATAGCAACACACAAGTCTCCACTGACAGATGGGTGGTGGCTGTTCATGAGGTGTACTGGCTGGGCATCGAACCTGGGTTTCCCGCATGGAAGGTGAGAATTCTACCACTGCCAACACCGTGCACATAGGGGGTTCAGTTTCAAGGAAGGGTGGTTACTGTCACCCCATGTCATGGGGAGCTGGGCAAGGTAACGTTCTCAGCGATGGGCTCCAGCTCTGTTTGTTCACAAACTGTGTCCCTTGGACAACCCAGATATAAATAGGTACCTGCCTCCATGGTGTCTCTCCAAGAAACCCAGCCACATGGTGGTCTTAAGCCACAGTGCAACTTCCTAAATGCTGCTCACCTGAGCTGGGGGCCCCGGGAGAGTGGTTCCTCTCACCAGCGAGGCTCACGCTCGTTGGAATGCAATAATGCAGGTGAGAGGCCTCTGCCTGAGGCTGGTTGTAATGGCCACGGCTCAAGAGGAGGCTATACGGGGGAGGTCAAAGGTGAGGCTGACAGGCTAACAGGTAAGAGAATAGGTTCTGGAAACAGGCAGGCCCATGGTCACATTCTGGTTCCATGCCTTAACTAGATGTGTTAGTCTTCAGTCTCTCTTTGCCTCAGTTTACTCTGCTGTGAACCAGAAACCAGTTGCTGTAGAGTCAACTCTGACTCATGGCAGCCCCATGTGTGCCAGAGTAGAATGGAGTTCCGTAGGGTTTTCAATGGCTGATTTTTGGGAAGTAGATAGCCAGAACTTTCTTCCGAGGCACCCCGAGTGGACTCGAACTGCCAATCTTTTGGTTAGCAGCAGAGCGTGTTAACCATTTGTACTACCCAGGGAGTCCCGTGTGATCTTAGGTGAGTCACCTAACCTCTCCAAGTCTTGAGTTCCATGCCCTGTGATATGGGCTGGCTTTGAGAACCAACCGAGGCTCTCTCAGTGCGCTGGCTGACCCGGCACCTAGCTCTGAGTTGGGCATCCTCATGCAGGCGCCACATATCACCCTAAGAGAAACTCCAAGGAATAACCACCTCTGCTAAGGGAGCAGTTTCAAAAGCCTGAGCTGTACATTCTAGGCCCAAGGAGATGTCACGCCTTGTCACTTATTAACCTCTCTCTGTTTTCGTTTTTTTCTTTCACTTAGAGCTCTTGAAGTTATAAAAGCCATTTGTGTGGGGCCCCCGAAGGCCAAACTCATTAAGTAGAAATGATTAACGATGTCTTCTTGTCTGTTTATATAGCTCAAGCCAGTCAACGACCACAGAAATATTTTGTTTTCAGCCTCCCAAATGTTTCTATTCTGTCTTCTCTGCTAATCCTGGTCCCCTCTGGCCAAATCCTTTCTTCAGTTCTTGACCTTGCTCGCCAACTGCCTCCTCTTTCTGGAATCCCTCTCCTCTGCCTGACCTTGTAAGGTTTTCCTCCTACCCGGGCCTGGTTCCCCTGGGACCTGCCCTGGGCACTGGCTTTGCAGAAGGTTTCCTGTGGGGAGGGCAGTGACACTCTCTCCTGAACTGGCCACAGGCTGGGACCTCTCATAGGGTCTCTGCTGACCAGAGACCTGCCTCAAGATCGTCACACTTCCAGAGCATATGCGAGATCCTACCCCACTTGATTTTCACAGTGGCCAACCTCGGCTGGTGGCCCTTAGGTGGTGCCACTTGAAGGGCTTGCCAGCCTGTCCTGCACACCTTAACGCCCCACTCCTGGAAGCATGCTTATGATCTAACCTGCTGTCTCCAGAAGGTTCCAGTGAAATGGACATCCTTCTAGGGAAAGGAGAGCTGATAGTTCCTGTTAACTGTCCCCCAAGCACAGCTGACCGCTCTGTACCAGGCACCACGCCTCGTGCTTCATGCAAGGTAGACCACGGGGCCCTCACAACACTCGGTGAGGTGGGTACGATCATACCATTACCAGATGAGGAGACTGAGGCTCAGGTTAGGAAACTTGCCCAAAGTCACACAGCAGCGTGGTGGGGCTGGGAGCCCCGTGGAGGCCAGAGCCCTGGAAGGTGGGAGGGCGAGTTCAGAAGTGCAGGAAACCACCTCAGTGTAGGCAGGAAACGGCTCCTCTGCCTGGGGAGGGCAGAGCCAGAACAGCCAGACAACAGGGTGGCTTTGAGTGAGGCGCCCAGCATTTGGCGATTGACCCAGCACTGAGGGGTGTACCGTTTTACTGGAAGGACGTTACTTACCTTCCCACTTGCTCCAAAACCAGTAAAAAACCAGTTGCTGTTGAGTGGACTCTGACTTACGGCAACCTCATGCGTGTCAGAATAGAACTGTGCTCCATAAGGTTTTCAAGGGCTGCTTTCTGGGAAGTAGATTGCCAGGCCTTTCTTCTGAGGTACCTCTGGGTGGACTCAAACCTCTAACCTTTCGGTTAGCAGCCGAGTTTAACTGTTTCCACCACCCAGAGAATCCTCTCACTTGTTCCAGGAAGCACAAAACTGTGATTGTAGTTTAGATTTATCCTGTTTGTATCAGGTTTTACTGCCATTGAATGGTGATGGTCTGGGTGTGTCCCCTGATGCCTATTCCCCAAACTGTCCCTCCATCCTGTGCCCTGGCCCCTGCCTGGAGGGACGCTCCACTGAAATTCATTATCACTGCTTCCATCTTTTTCTATTTCCCATCTACGGCTTGATTTTAACCCCACCCCCGGTCATCTGTCTTCCCCCAGGTTGGGTGAAACACTTGAGCTTTGTGGCAGATGTCCCCTTCCTGCTTCCCTGTGGTCTTTCCACCCCTGGGCTCCTGCAGGACCCCTCACGGGCCGCTGGAAGTCTGATCTGGGGTGCGAAAGGGTATGACTACCCCCCAGCCCAAATAAGAAGGCTTTTCCAGAACCAGCGTCCCTGTGGGAAGTCCCACCTTCGGGGTGACCCTTGGACTTGCTCTTACCTGGCTATCCAGTCCAAGCAAGAGAAGCATGATAAAAAAAAGAATGGACCAAAACGTGGGCAGCGGCATCATCGTCACAGCTTTGGGGTAGGCAATGAAGGCCAAGCCAGGACCTAGAGGAGAGAGAAAATGGGGAGGGGGACAGGGAGAAGGATGTCAGCCACCAAGCCCCCGCCACCGGGGCTCACACAGACACTTGGTCCTGAGGTGGGGCTCCCAACCCAAAGTGCAGGGAGGGGCCGGGTCTGAGCTCCTGCCTAGGGACGGAGCCGGGGATGCACGGGGCTGGGCAGGGCCCCGTTTTAGCATCTGTCTCCTACACAGCGCAAGCAGCCTCCTCAAAAACCAGCCTCCCAAGAACAATGGTTATGGGGGGCAGGATGCAGGACTGAGCCTGGGACTCAGTCTGCCGGCTTGGAAAAGGGAGGTCCTCAAACCAAAGCAACCAAGTCAGCTGCTGCTGGAAGGAAGCAAGGGTGAAAGGTCTGATTAGCTGACCACTCAAGCCCTCATTTGCAAGGGAGAGATTTCTATTTTTGAGTTAATGGCTAAACCATTGCATGGGTGGGAAGAAAAAAGAACACAGAGACATGCCCTGTAGGGTCCACAGCATCCTCCTGAGCACAGTCTGGAGCTGGGCCTGACCAGGGCCCAACCCAAAGGGAAGTGTGGGCAGCGGGGAGATCCTGGGCCTGAAGATCCCAAGGCCTGGATCCAGGTCCTTGGCCCACTGTTCCCTCATTATACCACCACACACCCTCTCAGAGTCTCCGGTTCCCCATCTCTAAGTGAAGGATTGGTTCAGGAAAGGACTCCCAAGGAGCCTTCTGTGTTCAGGTCCTCAGAGGCTGAAGCCGTTTCTCTAGAAAAGGGGTTTTGCTTTCAAGAGAGGAGACTCTGACAGAACCTTGAGGCCAGCCAGGCTGGAGAGACAGAAGCTCCATCAGCTCAGTGCTGCCTTTTTGACTGAGAACATTCCAGAAGCATAGAGAAATGTCTCCTTCTGTCTCCCAGCCATCCAATCGGCCTGAGAAGACCCCTGGGGCAAGAATTTAGTTGTCAGAGACCTGTGGATCCAAGAAGCGGTCAGGAGCAGCAAAAGCTTGGCCTGAAGGGCCTGGGCTAAAAAATATAAAGTAAAATTCACAACTAAAGAAATACAACAAGAAACGTGAAACAAAAAGGACTGGAGAGCAGGAAATGTGAAAGGCTTTGTAAATCAACTATTAGAAACCAAATGAATGGTTTACGAAAAGAATGAAAAAAAAACAAAAAAACAAAACAAAAAAAAAAAGAACAAAAACTTTGAAATAAACTGGAACCAGAAACCACATTATACAGTGTTAACAATCACAAACGTGGCTGGGGAAAAGCAAATCCTTTTACAAGTCCGGAGTTCACTCATCCTGGGGAAATCCTGATCAAAATGGAACATTCTCGGGGCGGCCACAGAGTGCTTGGTCCCAGAGATGCTATAAAAATCCACAAGCAAAGTAGAAGGAGTGCTCTTACCAGCCCCCAAAGCTGCCTGAGAGGACAAGTCTGAGGGAAGACAGCTGGGTCAAGAAAAACATGGCCCCCAAAGACACTGTGGAATCAAAGTCCAAGTGGAAATCAAAAGCGTGGCATTCCCACCCAGGCCAGGACCCTCGGGCCCCCCAGCGCACTGACTGGTGGGCATCACCACGGGGTGATCAAGTCCTGTGAGACAGATGTAAAATGGGGCCCCCCGCAGCCCCACCCGCTGGGGCGTTGGAAGTTCTCAATTCGCTCGGTTCTGTATTTCAGTTTTGCCCTTCTCAAGCCAGCCTGTGGGAGCGGGTCTGAGCTTCTTTCTCTAAAAGCACAGGGTGAACTATAGAGAGAGAAGTCCAAGTGAAAGAACGCAGCCGCTCCGAGCGCCTCTGGATCTCTCTCCCTTAAGGGAGGCCATGCCACGCTGGGTCTCGTGCACTCTGTTCGGCTAAGTAATTATCTTGCTCAAATGCACTTCGCTCAATATGGTGCTTGTTAAGAGCTTATTAGAGAAATAATCACCCTTGATTTGTCGGCTGTTGGGCCGTCACCATGGGGAATAAATGGCAAGGTCTTCTTTGAAGTGGACGGGAGGAAGAAAACAACTCAGGTTGACAATAGATACATATATAAAAATACCTAGTTGTCCACAGAGAAAGACGTATTTTATATATCTATATATATCTCCACACCACCAAGTTCTCTCCGTGCACCTGGCGACGCCATCAATCAGGACTGGTTTGCAAACCGTCGACTGGAAGACAGCCAGCTTCAAGGTGGTATCAACTGTTCCAGGCTTTCCCTCATCACTCTAACTGCCACACGCCCAAGCGGGTGTGGAAACTTCTGGAATTACTTTCTGTGTCCTTCCATCTCCAGTCTGTCTCGTGGGGCTCTCAGTGACCTTCACAGTATATCTGAAGGTGCGATTTGGGGATGTGTGGGGTTGTACTGCCAGGCCTCAGGATGTTGGGATGTGGGCACGCAGGGAGTGTCTTTGTCAGGTGAGGGGAAGGTAGGGCTAAGCCCTGAGCAGTCAGAAGAGCCCGGCAGATCCTCACACAAGAAAGGCCCAACCTTGTGTATGTCCAGGGTAGGGTGGGGAGGGCCTGTGTGTCATGTGGTGAGAAGAACAGAGGACAGGGTGCTGCCAGAGACCCCAGCCCTGACCCTAACCAGCTTGAGCAAGGCCTTTGCTCTCAGGCCATTAGTCTCCTCACCTGGGAAATGGGACATCTGAATGCATGTGGCCAAGGAGCCTTCTGGCCCTCAAACGCTAGGGCTCTATGCCTGGGGAGCTAGACCAGAGCCCACCTCTGGTGTCACACACAGGAGATGAATGAGGACAAGAACAAAGCTGTGGGGACCCCAGCTGGGCCCGTCCCTGGACCACGGTGGTCCCTCTGAAAGAAGCCTTGGCACAGGGCCCCAGAGAGGTTGTGGGAAACCAGGAGGTGGGGGGGCGGGGACACCAAAACGTTCCAGCTCACCAACAACCACCCTCCAAGTGAATCGGGCAGGACAGGGAAGAGTGGGGAAGCCAGGAAGGCAGACTTCACGGATGCTAGGAGTCCAACATTCTTGATCCCGTATCTAAGCCCTGCAGTGTTAAGCCGCAGGTCCCATAGATTTAAGTACCCAGGGGCAAGTTCTACAGTCTGGCTGCCTACGGTGTGGTGGTTTGGAGGCTCTAGGGTTCTAGCAGCAGAAAACCCTGTAATTCTCAGGTCTCAGGCCCGTCTTGTTGGAGCTGGGAGACCCCAGGTTCCTAGAGTCCCACATTCCACGGACTCCACGTTTCTGAAACTCTGATTCTCCACTGCTATGATCCAGGAGTCCTGGGCTAGCTTATAGGGCCCACCCCCAAGGGGTGACGGTGTCCTCATGACCTACTTCGAAAGGGGATCTGTCATCTGCTTCTCCAAAACTATACTAAAAGATGTCACCTGTAGGGTGTCCCCTCTCCCTGCTCCCACTCTTTCTTCCTCATCTGTCTCATCCCCACTGAGCCACAGTGCCCACAGCGGTGCCTGATGCAGAGTTGACACTCAGTAAATAAATGTCAATGGAATGATTGAATGAAAGGGTTCACTGAGAGGGGGCACACTGGGGGCAAAGTGCAAAATACAGAAACCAAGGCTGAGAAGGCGGCAATGACCTGTCAGTTGGTGGCTGGCTTGGGCCTGAGTTAAGAAAGTGGTTTCCAGCTGAAACCAGGACTTTGCTGGGAAAAGGGGGGTGGGGGAAAGATCACAAGCAGGTAGTTAAGTAGCTCCCAACTTTAACCACTCCCAGGTTCCTGCCACCCCTAAGGCCAAATCGCAATGAAAATGTTTAAAATTTAGCTGTTGTACACTTTGATATTTGGGGGATGTCTTGGTGGGGGGTGTCCATTTTTAAAACCAGGCTCATCCCCCCCAGTTCCCCCTGGGTTCTGGCTTCATGCCTGCAGTACTTGGCTCACACACTAGGTGGCAGTGCCCACCACCACTGCCACCAATACCATCATACCTGACTCAGCCACATCAGCAATGTCCACCCCTTGCTCTTGTGCCATGAAGCCCAGGATGGAAAAAATTGCGAAGCCAGACACAAAACTGGTACCACTGTTCAGGCATCCCAGCAGCATACAGTCCCTAAGTTACACATATGTCAGGGAGCAAGTTAATTCACAACACATGGAAGCCACGCTCCCTACTTCTTTCTTTTTCTTTAAACATCATCATCATCATCATCTCTAAGGTGCACCAGGCCCGCCGGGCCGACACTTGCCTGTACGAGTTGTACTTGTACTTGTTGTAGCTTCCCAGAGAGGTCATGGCCCCCAGGCAGATCGCATAGGAGAAGAATATCTGCGTCCCAGCATCAATCCACACCTAGGCGGGGTGAGGGGTGGGGGAGGGGAGAGAGAAGGGCCATTAGAGCCAGCTTCATGGAGGTGGCAGCGTGGGTTCTTGGCCAATCTGGCAGCGAATGGCCTGAGGACTGGATCTTGCAATGTGCCACTCTCTGCACCCCTGCCCCAGAGCGAAAGAAAAAAGAGCCAGTAGCTTCTCCATGGTGAATGCAGCCTTTATGATGGAATCCAAGAGACCTTTCTAGGCAATTCGGAGCTGCAAGGAACCTCAGAAATCAAAGAAATCCCCCAATCACTTAGCATCAGGGTTGAGGCTGGGCTCTTGATGCAGGTGGATCCGGATTCCAACCCTGGAATGATCCTGGGCAAGAAAATATCACTTTCTGAGCCTCAGTTTTCACATCTGTAGAATGGGCTTCACAGAGCTATTCTGCGGGTTCAAAGAGGACTTAGCCCAGTGCTATGGTAAGCCCGGATGTCAAGGCTGCTATTATTATTATTATTATCTGGGGATCTCCAAGTTGGAATGGGGAGGAATTCCCTAATGGATTATGCAGACAAAGCTGCTCTCCAGAACCTTCATCAAATAGCTCCTGATTGCCACAAAGCTGCCTTCCCAGCTGTCCTTTGATGCTGGCCACCCACCCGCTCACCTACCTCCTACACAAGGAGGACGGTGGGAAGGACCCTTGAATAGGTGCAGGCCCTTGGGAGGCAACCCAAACGCTGAGGAGCCCAAGGAGCCTGGTGACAAAAGGTCCTCAAACAGGCCAACACAATCTCCCAGAGCTTTCTCCAACTCCCTGAGGTCATGTGACAGAACACCAGCAGGAGCATTTCAAGTATCTGCCCCTCAGCCTTCTAAGAGGTCACTGACCATGACTTCCACTGAGGAAGGCAGCACCTCTCCCTGGCTCAGCTCTCTCACCTCCTCGACTCAGCCTTCTCAGGCCGCTGTGGGCAGAGGACAAGGCTGAGAGGAGGCGAGCTCCTCACAAGAGTCCTCTCCCTTACCTGGCACAGGGCCTGAGGCAGACACTATAACTGGCCAGCCACAGGACTGTTGACATGAAAAGATACACACACCCCTGCAAAGGCCTGAGGACACTGGAAACAACCGCGCCCACCACAGGCCCAGTGGAAAAATACCAGGATGACGGCCTGGCTAGGTCTGTGCATCCAAGAACACGAGGGCACGCTGCCGGCTGTCCTCAGTGTCCGCGCCAGCCTGGCCCTGGGTGGGAAGAAGGACAGGCATGGGGCCCGCCCTGCAGTACCTGGGGATCCTCGAGGCGGGAGATGTCGGGGTACAGATAGAACTTGATGCCTGCACCGGCCCCAGGCAGTGTGAGTCCACGGACCAGCAGCACCAGGAGCATGATGAATGGGAAAGTGGCTGTGATGTACACGACCTGCAGGGAGACAGGGAAGGTTCAGGCCGGCCATGGGCATCGCTGGCTCTGCTCAGCCTGAGAGCAAGAGTGTGTGGGTCAAGAGGATGGGTTCTAGAGCTAGGATCCCTGTGTTCAAACCTGCGCTCCACCTGGGTGGGCCTCGGTTTCCTCACCTGTAACTTGGGTATAATGCAAGTACCTACCTCATAGATTTACGGAGAGTAAATGAAAAAAGCTTATAAATATTTATTAGCATCTATTATGTCCTGGGGAGCCCTGGTGGTGAAGTGGTTAAGAGCTCAGGCTGCTAAGCAAAAGGTCAGCAGTTCGAATCCACCATCCGCTCCTTAGAAACTCTATGGGGCAGTTCTACTCTGTCCTATAGGGTCGCAATGAGTTGGAATTGACTCGACGGCACACAACAACAACAACATTATGTCCTGGAGTGCCTGAGTGGTGCACACAGTTAATGCACTCAGCTGATTAACATATTCAGCTGTGTATGTAAAGGACTTAGCTCAGTGCTTGGCACACGGCATTTTTAGTACCTATTAGCTAATATCACAACTGTTCATATGACTCTCAGAGTTAAGAATCAGACAAAATCAAACCAAAAACTAAACTTGTTGCTGTAGAGTTGACTCCGACTCATAGCGACCCTATAGGACAGAGTAGAACTGCTCCATAGGGTTTCTAAGGAGCGGCTGGGGGATTCAAACTGCTGACCTTTTGGCTAGCAGCCAAGCTCTTTAACTACTGCGCCACCAGGGCTCCAAGAATCAGACAAATGTGGGTTCAAATCTGCACCCACCACAGGCCCAGTGGAAAAAATACCCTGCACTTGCTGTACGACCTTGGGTCTGCTGCTTAACCTCTCTGGGACCCAGTTTCCTCATGTGTGAAATGGACGTAAGAGTAGCAGAAGCCCTTCATCAAATGGTGAGGTGAAGACGCCATGGGATGATGCTTAAAACGCCCTTGAAACAGTGCCTGGCACTTTGTAGGAGGTAGAGAAATGGGGCACATTGCTGGCATTGTGATCTTGTGGGAAGCACACAGAACTTCTAGAAAGCAAACAGGCCTCTCAAAGCTCCTCAGCCAGGATGCAGAAGGAAGGTGCCCACTTGCCCTGGGCCAGCAGGAGGCCCCAGCCCTTCCCTGGGTCACAATGCACGTCTGGACAAGCCACGGTCAAGGTCAAGTTGGGCACAAGAAATGACCTGGCTGGGGCTTTTTCACCCCCAGGGACCTGCCCTACTCACTCCCCCTCTCCAATCCTGAAAGCACTGGCCGGCCAAACTGTCCCGTGGCTTCAATGCACACGGACACATTTATCATCTTTTTATTCAACACGTGATGTGTCCAGGCAGTATTTGCACCTGGGAGAAGCTCAAAGGGGCATGGCCTACTGGACAGGCACAAGCCCACTTCGTCCTTGCTCAGGTCATCTGCAGAGGGCAAGACTTGAACCGAGGGATCATGGAAGGCTAACCACCTTGCTCTGTGTATAAGCACAAGGTATTTTACTTCACCAGTGGGGGCATATGCAGAAAGTTTGCGGTGGCCTTCTGAAATGCTGAGACTGGCTGTCAGAGCCCATGGCTACCTCTGAGGGCCTTGGGGACCTGGGAACCAGGGGGAACTGCTGCAGGACCAACAAGTCCATTTTACAGGTGAGGAAACTGAGACCCAGAGGGTAGGAGGAAGGTACTCATTGCATTAGGGCCCCTGGCCTCTGCCTGCCCCTGCATAGCACATGCCAACAGATGCTGAGAGAGCCCTGAGCCTCACCTGAGTCACACAGGAGCCTACCACAGAGGAGAATTTTCAGACCATGATCCCTTTAAGTAGAAACAACCAGAAAGGCACTTTGGAAAAGGGCAAGAAGGATGCTCGCAGGGCCTGCCTGGCCTGCTGCCCTCAGCCCAACAACACCAGCCAGCATTTACTGAACACTTACTATGTGCCTAGCCTTATTCCGTGTACTGTAACTTCTACTTTCACTTGATCCTGCCATTAATCCTTTGATGCAGGTTTTATCACTGTCCTTATTTTATAGGTGAGAACATGGAGGCCCAGAGAGGGTTCATCACTTGCCCAGGATCACACAGCACGGAAGTGGCAGAACTGGCCACTCAGCACTGCCTCCCTATGACAACAACAGAGCAGTAGCAACACTGAACTCTTTTAGTCAAAGCCCTTCGTGCCTAGCAGTTTATTTAATCCTCCTAATGACTCAAGGGAGGCTGAGCTCCCGAAGTGCTGGGGGTGGAGAGCCCTGGGTCTCGAATAGAGCCCAGCGGCTGGCTGGCTGCGAGACCTTGAGTAAGTTACAGCCACCTCCCCAGGTGTGTTGCTGTTGTGACGTAGGGGTCTTGGCCTGATGAGCTGAGGTTCCCTCTGCCTCTGTCGCTCTGGGGGAGGAGTACAGCGGTTGAGAGGGCCAGCCGGGGGCCACCTGGACCTGCCACCCACTAGCTGTGCGCCTTGGCCTCAGCTTCCTAGTCTGCGCAACGGGGATAATGAGAGGGCTCACCCGACCTGCCGCCTGGCATGCAGTGAGCACCCCAGAAACCTCAGTCATCACTACTGTTGTGATAATTCTATATGGCTAAGAGGGGGCTCCCACCCCTGCCTCTGCCATGCCCTCCCTGGACATTTTTCCTCCCTCTGGCCTCAGTTTCTCCAGTCACTCTTACTTTCTTCTTCTCGAAGCAGGGAACACTCCCAATTTCCCCAGGATGGGAAGGCAGTTATGGAGGGTGGGGACAGGTCAGGAAGGCCCAGATGGGGTGAAAGAAATAACACCAGCCTGGCCCCACAGCCCGCCCCTCCCTTCCTGCAGACAGGCGGCCCCGACCAGTGTCCACCTCTGGGGCCTTGTCGGCTGTGCCACGCCTGGCGGTTAGTGAACAATAGCTGCTGAAAGCGTCCCCGCACCGGTCCCCAGAGGGCCGCCACTTCAAAGACAGCTGGGCCCCATGGGCTGGGCAGCCCAGGCTGCAGCCAGCAGCTCCGTGTCAGGGACATAGGACAGGAGCTGGGAATGTGCAGGGCTCCTTGTTTTCATGTATTTAATACATTGCAGAAACACTTATGCGGCACTTACTGTGTGCTAAGAGCATTGCGCATATTATCTGATTTCATCCTTGCAGCACCTCCAAGAGGTAGATGCTATTACTACCTCCATTTCATAGATGAGGAAACTGAGGCCCAGAGAGGTGAAGTCACCTGCCTGAGGTCACAGGGCTGGCAGGTGGCGGAGGTGGGATTTGAGTCCAGGCCATCTGGCTGCAGAGCCCACGTGCTGTGTGTGTGTGTGTGTGTGTGTGTGTATGTTTGTGTGTGTGTGTGTTAAGTGTGTGTGAGCTGTTGCCCTTCCCCCAAATCCACAGTTGGCAGCTGTCATGGTTTGAATTATGCACCCCAAAAAATGTGTGTATCAATTTGGCTGGGCCATGATTCCTGGTAGTGTGTGATTTTCCTGTATGTTGTAAACCTGCCTCTATGATGTTAATGAGGGAGGATGGGTGGCAGTTGTGTTAGTAAGGCAGGACCTGATCTACAAGACTGGATTGTGTCCTGAGGCAATCTCTTGAGATATAAAAGACAGAAGTGAGCAGTGAGACAGGGGGACCTCACACCATCAAGAAAGTGGTGCCGGGAGCAGAGCGTGTCCTTTGGACCGGGGTCCCTGTGCCGAGAAGCTCCTAGTCTGGGGGAACACTGATGAGAAGGCCGAGAGAGAGAAAGCCTTCCACTGGAGCTGACACCTTGAATTTGGACTTTTAGCCTACTTTACTGTAGGGAAATAAACTTCTCTTCGTTAAAACCATCCACTTGTGGTATTTCTGTTGTAGCAACACTAGATGACTAAGACAGAATTTGGTACCGAGAAAGTGGGGTGCTGCTCTAACAGATACCTAAAATGTGGAAGCGGTTTTAAAACTGTGAATGGATAGACGTACAGCAGTGACAGAGGACCAGCAGCAGCAGAGAACCTACAGCAGCAGAGAAGTGGCAGCGGCAGAGAACCAACAGCAGCAGAACCAGGAGACCAGGGCGAGACGGCACTGGAGCCGACCTACGGAGCGAGAGAGCTGAGTGCCTGTGCGCGGGAGGCTTCCTGGCGGTGTGGGGTGCCTCCGGGCACTTATCGGTGGAGCTAGGCTTGCCAACCCATGGAGCGAGAGAGCTGAGTGTCTGTGTGCAGGAGGCTTCCTGGCGGAGTGGGGTGCCTCCGGGCACTTATACTGGTGGAGCTACAGAATCCGGGCACTTATACTGGTGGAGCTACTGAGCTTTGGAACACTTGCCCCAGCAGGGCAGATGCGGGCGTGAGGCCCGAGGGCCAAGAGGCCATAGGAAGCAGAAGCTGAAGAGACAAGGGACACAAGAAGCCGAGTTACTTCAGCCTCAAAAGGTATGGCCATGACCTCAGGGGTTTCAAAGGGTGGAGCCATGGCCTCTGATGCTTCTAAGGGTGGAGTTGTCACTCCGATGGACTAGGAGAATGGTGCGCCTAAAGCTAAGGGAGCAGAGTTGCTGTCCCAGCGGGCCTGGAAGGCGGAGCTGAAGCCCAGGGCCGAGGGGACTCCACTCAAAATCAGGGGACTGTGGCCAACACCTAGAGTCTGGAGGGCACGGCCATTGTGTAAATTTTCTCAGAGAACAGAGGATTATTTTCAAAGCCTTGAGGGCTAATGTAATGTGTTCTGCTGACTTGCTTGGTGCCTGTTATCACTTCTTTCCCTGCAATTTCTCCCATTTGTAATGGAAGTGTCTAGCTTGTGCCTGTTCTGCCATTGTACCTTTGGAAGCAGATAACTTGTATTCTAGATTTCACAGAAGAAGAGGAATTTTTGGATTTTGGACTTGGAGTTAAGACTTTTGCTACAATATGACGGGGTGAATATGTTTTCCATGTTGCAAGGATGTGATTTTGGGGGGGCCAAAGGGTGGAATGTCATGGTTTGAATTACGTCCCCCCAAAAATGTGTGTATCGATTTGGCTAGGCCTTGATTCCTGGGACTGTGTGATTTTCCTGTTTGTTGTAAACCTGCCTCTCTGATGTTAATGAGGGAGGATGGGTGGCAGTTGTGTTAGTAAGGCAGGACCTGATCTACAAGACTGGATTGTGTCCTGAGGCAATCTCTTGAGATATAAAAGACAGAAGTGAGCAGTGAGACAGGGGGACCTCATACCATCAAGAAAGTGGTGCCGGGAGCAGAGCGTGTCCTTTGGACCGGGGTCCCTGCGCTGAGAAGCTCCTAGTCTGGGGGAACACTGATGAGAAGGCCGAGAGAGAGAAAGCCTTCCCCTGGAGCTGACACCTTGAATTTGGACTTTTAGCCTACGTTAACTGTGAGGAAATAAATTTCTCTTCCTTAAAATCATCCACTTGTGGTATTTCTGTTGTAGCAGCACTAGATGACTAAGACAGCAGCTCTACCCGGTCATGCCACCTCAGTCGCCGCTTTAGAAAGCCACCCTTGTTTTGCAGAGTTTGCCACTCTGAGAGCCATGTGCTCAACTTTTCTGCGACTCCCCTGGGATCCTCGCAGGAGACACAGTGCCAGCCGCCACCAGGGCGCCTCTTGCGGGTGGCCCAGCAGGCCTTGCCACGAGACTTGGTGTTTTTCCGCTCTTGCTGGTGAACCTCCGGGGCTCTTCCGAGCCCTCAACCCAAAAGCCCTATGGCCCAATTGCCCTGGAAACTTACAAGGACCACTTCTCCCCATTCCATGGGGACTGTGGGGAGAGGGCAGGCCTGAGAGGCAGGCAGGAGCTAGGTGCCAGGCTCCAGACTGCCCCTGCGCTTCCTTTGGGGACAGGGCCCTGGGCAGTAGGGGACCAAGGTGGGGCCACCCGGGACAGACCTGGAGAAGACATCACAAACTCATTTCATACAAGCGGAAACTGAGGCTCAGAGAGGGAAAGGGACTTGCCCAGCTATGCAGCTTGTGGGGTGGGCTGGGGTGGGGTTGAGGGGGGCAGAGCTGAAATCCAAAGCCAGGTCTGTCTGGCTCTGAATTCCTCTTTGTTTCTAACCAGGGGACAAACAGTGACCCTGAAGAGCTCCCAGCCACAGGAGTTTGCTCACTTGTGAGGCTTTACTCTCCTTTGAGTCACAGGCTGGACTTCCTGGGTGAGAGTCGGGACTTCCGTGCCCCACCCAGACCATGTGCTCTGTGACGGCAGGTCTGTGCCTGCCTCATGCCCTCCGGCATCCTCTGGCCGGTATGGGGTGAGGGCCAAGGCCAGGTGACTGTCAGATGGTGGGGAGAGCACGCGAGCCAGCTGCCTGGGTTCAAATCCCAGCTTGGCCACCTACAAGCTGTGTGACCTTGGGCAAGTTAATTAACCTGTCTGGCCTTCAGTTCCTCCATCTGTAAAACAGGACTAACAATTGCACTGTCTCCAGAACAGTGTGAGGATTAAATGAGCTATAGAACAGTGCCTGGCACACACACGCTGCACAGCGTTTGCTGCTATTATTATCACTATTTGTTGAATAAACTGAGCTACACCATATTCTGGGGCCAAGTTTCAGACCCCCTAGAGGGGGGTACACAGCAACAGAAAGGCAAAGTAACTTGAACTCAGGTCTTGCACCTCACTGGCTGGGCCCTCCCTCCATCCATCTCCTGTGGGATGTGGTCTGGACCAGTGTCAGCCTGGCAGAGGGGTCCATGGCCAGGATGAGGCTTTCCTGCTGCCTGTGGCCCGGACTGCTGCCAGGGCTGGAAGCCCCAGCCGGCAGTGGGCAGGCAGGTGGGCGGGTAGCCTCTTAGGCACGGAATGCAAGGAAGTCCACAGAGCCCTCACTGTGTTTGTCTTGGCTTCTCTAAGGCCCTGCTATTGTTCTGGAAACCACGCCTGCCTCAAGGAGGAGGGTGTCACTAGGGGTGGGTGGGAGAACCTCTAGTAAGTCACGTCTGTGCTGTGCCTCAGTTGCAGGTGGGCACTCCATGCTTTCGGCTTTGATTCCTATCCTCCCAGTCGCTCCATTTCGTCTCCAAGGTCACCAACAGTTCCTGGGGCACATCAGCCTCCTCCATCACACCAGGGGCTCCCCAAGTGTCTGGGTGAGACACACCTCAGGACCTCTGCACTGCCCGTCCTCTCTATCTAGATTTTTTCCCTCCAGATATCCGCATGGCTCACCCCCTCATTTCCTTCAGATTTTTGCCCCAAAGTCACCTCCTCCAAGGGCCTTCCCTGGCCACCTTATTTGAAATGCACCCCAACCCTCCCCATTCTCCTTTGCTGCTTTATTCATTTCCATAGCTCTTGTCACCATCTGACTCCTGAATTCAAACCTGACCTCTGCCACCTGCCAGCCCTGTGTGACCTCAGGCAGGTGACCTCAACTTTCTGGGTCTGTTTCCTCATGTAGAAATTGGAGGTAGTAATACTGCCTACTTCGAGTTGTGAGGATTAAATGATTTAATGCATGGAAAGCTCTCCGCACAGTGCCTGGCACAGAGTAAGCGCTCCATAAACGTTTTGTTCACTATATCAAATACATGAGCTAGCTATAATCTGACTCTTCCCTCCAGGTGTCTGTCAGCTCCTGATGACAGGGAATTCTATTTTGTTGGTCCCTGCACGCCCCTGACCCTATTCCTAGAACAGTACCTGGCATATAGTAGAGGCTCAAAAACCATTAGCGAAGAAGTAAATGATTATGTCTCCAGCATGCCCAGGCCCGGTGCTCCGTAGAAACTTCCCAACAGATGCACTTCTATGTGGGGAAACCGAGGCGGAGTGAAGAAGGGAATTAGCGTTTGCTGGACTGTCTGCTGCAAGCATTGTGCTAGGTGCTTAACACGCCTCACCCTAACCCTCACTACAACCCATTCTACAGATGAAGAAACTGATCTCAGAGATGAGGGAGTGACCTTGGACAGACTTGTGACTACTTAACCTCTCTGAGCCTCAATTTCCTCAACATTTAAAGAAAGGTAAGAACATTAATGGTTTCCTCCTAAGACCGAGAAGGAAATGGGGTAAGAGGCAGTGCAGGAATAACCTGTGTTGCCCCTCTTCCTGCCTGTCCCAGGGCCAGGATCAGTGTTATCTGGAGCCTCTCGGGGTGCACGCCAAGATTTCTGAGGCCTGGCCTGTTCCCTTTCCAGGTGGGCTTTAGGATCGCTGTGTGGCTCTGCCTGAAGGCAGGCACTGGGATGGGTGGTGCAGGACTTCACCGCTGAGGTGGCTCTTCATCCAGGGGAGGGCATGCACCTTGACTCTAGGTTCAACTACTGGGCTGGTGCAGCAGAGGCCCTTTCTCCAATGCCTGTCACCGTGACTGCAATGCCACCTTCAGATACTCTTTCGACCCTTCGAGGCTTTTTGGTCTTAAAGAGGTTTTCCCCCCATTAAGATGCAACTGCTTCTGAGAATGGTGACTACAGGCAGATGACCAACACCTTCATGACTGGTTATACCTTGGGTTAGGACTCACACTTGGCCTTTGTCATCAGAAGCACCACACTATCCGCCAGCAGCTAGGTTCTCAGGTAACTGCTCTGCTCTCAAGAGCACCATTGTCAACAGGTTACATTTTCATTATTGCCAATACGCCAGTTCTACCTAAAACCTTAGTTTAAAAAAAAAGCCAAACCAGTTGCCCCAGCTTCCCCCCATTGCTGCAAGCCCTTCTTTCCCTGCATGGGCTCTGGGGCCAGATGGAAAAAAAAACAGTTGCCATCAAGTTGATTCCAACTCAGGCTACCCCATGTGTCAGAGTAGAAGTATACTCCATAAGGTCTTCAATGGCTGTAGTCTTATGGAAAGGCGCCTGGGTGGCATAAGGGGTTCCATAAAGATTCTGTAAAAACTCCAGCCAAGAAAACCCTATGGAGCAGTTCTACTCTGACACACAGGGTCGCCATTGAGTCGGGGGCCAACTCAACGGCAGCTAACAACCACAGTCTTACGGAAGTAGATCACCAGGTCTTTCTTCCACCGTTCCACTGGGTGGATTTGAACCGCCCCAAAGTCACCTTTTAGCTAGTAGCGGAGTGCAAACTGTTTGCACCACACAGGGCCCTTAAAACCTTAGTTACAAACTAACATTTTGATGATCAGCTCCCACATTTGTAAACAGCTAACATCTTAGGGCTGTGTAACATATTCGCCAGCAGCAAATAACTCTGTTATAGCTGATACCTTGGCTGACAGCTAACATCGTGTTTATTAGCTAATGATTTCATTATCAGCTAACACTAGTAGTTACCAGATAAAATGTTAGTTATAAGATAACTCAGTGCATCTTGAATTAACAGCAAATATCTAAATTGGTGCTTCTCAACCATAGTGTGCATTCAGATAATCTGGAGACTGCGTTAAAGTGCAGATCCCGACTCTGTAGGTCAGGGGCAGGCCCCTGGGTCAGCATTTCTGACAAGCTCCCCAGTGATGCTGGGGCTGTTGGTCATGGCACACTCTGAGAAGCAAGAGTCCCTGTTGTCAGCTAGTAGCTCATAATTAGCAACCCAGCTGCTGGCTAACCTTGTTACCAGCTAACTTACTAGTTACAACTACGTTGGTTTTCTGCTAACATCTGTACTGACTGCCAACACCTCGATATGTGGGAAACCTGTGTTGTGTTGGAGCTGCTGGCATGGCTCAAGAGCAGACTGTTAAATTTTCAGGAATTTTGCAAGCTGGTTGTGAAACCGTTTAATAACTCGAAATGCGACATGATGGGAGTATTTACACCGTGAAATGGACAAGTAGTACAAACCAGGGCCCTCTTCCTTTTCGGAGGACTGGTTCTCAGCACACCACTGGCTAACTCCCTCCTGGATGCTCCCTGCTGAGGGCAGGATAGGGTCGGAAGTACAACTTACTTTCCCCGTGGACTTGACGCCCTTCCAGATGCAGAAGAAACAGATCAGCCAGACAAGGAGGAGGCAGAGAGCAAGGTCCCACTTCAGAGCACCGGGGTGGTTGATTCCAGAGGACAGACTCAGCACGTTGCGCCTTCGAGCAAACAGAAGAAGGAACAGTCAGTGCTGGCTGAGGCATGCAGACCCGGGCAGGGAGAGACGTGGCCTCCAGTCCAACAGGCTGAGTTCAGATCCTGGATGAGGTGCTGAATTTGTGCAAGCCACCCAACCTCTCCAAGCCTTGGAGTCTCCATCTGTCTCAGGGATGTGTCACAGGGTTGCTGGGAAGTCAAGAATGGGATGGATTCAGACTCCTGAGCCAGGCAAATCTGAGTTCAACCCAGCATGGTCTTGGGCAAATTAAGTAACCCCTAACCTCAGTTTCTTCATCTGTAAAATGAGTACTGTATGACCTCAGCACATCCTTCTTTAGAGCCTAAACCCAAACCAAAGCCATAGAGTTGAGACATTCAAGCAAGGTCTTTTGTTCACAGGTGTGTTCCTAGACCCAGGACGGCACCGGGCACATAGTAGGGGCTCAATAACCATCTGTTGAATGAATGAAAGAACTCAGATGGAAGGAACAACAAATGCGAGTATCACTCTGGGCCAATCCATGAAACGCTCCCACTAATGAGCCTTAAAAGAGTGCTGGGGTGATGCAAACGGTTAAGGTGCTCAGCTAACCAGAAGCTTGGAGGTTTGAGTCTACCCAGAGGCCACCTGGAAGAAAGGCCTGGTGATCTACTTTCAAAAAAATCAGTCATTGAAAGCCCTATGGAGCACAGCTGTACTCTGACACACACGGGCTTGTCATGAGTTGGAATTGACTCAACAGTGACTGGTTTTAACATGCCTTAAGAAGGGGCAGCTCTCTGAACTTTCCTTGCTGGTCACAGCAACACCTGTGGGTTCACTTGGAAGTATAGGATGGTGGGTACTCAGGACAGTGTCAGTGATAACAACAAAAACAGGCAGCTATTGCCAGCTTGCTGAGGCCTTTTCAGTGTATCTCAGCTGATCCAAAAATTCGCCCCATTTTGTAGATGAGGAAAACTGAGGCTTGCCCAGGGTCACATAGCCAGTAAGAGCAAAGCTGCTGCCTCAAACCCAGGCCTGTCTGACTCCAAAGCCAGCAGTGCTCTCTCTGTGCCACACTGAAGCTCTTATTTAAAAATAAGATAAAGCCTTTTAAAAAGAGAGGTCTCTCTAGCCCTCTGCTATGGCAGGGAGGTCACCTGGAACCCCGGGGCAGGGAGCATCCCTGTGAACCTGGCTGTCAGCCAAGCATGTGGATCTGGAGCCTGCAGCAGCTTCAGAACAACAGCGCATTCCCATTTAGCCTGCAGCCCCCGAGCCTTCAATGAGCCCCAGGGCCTCCCCGTGAATGGGCAGAGTGGGAGGAGCAGCTCCCCCCACACCTATGAACCCTTCCTAGTAGCCAGGCGCTCCCCTACTAAGCTCCGAGGCTCTGGGAAGCTTTCTCTGACATTTCCTCAAACGATGACCAGAGAGGGTCCCTGTCTGTCTTCCCGACTGCCTTCTCACTCCAAAGGAAGTCCATCCTGTGCTGAAATGTCCACCGTGCCCACTGGACTCTGCACCCAAGAATACGGCACATAATAGGTGCTCAGTTAATGGTAGGAGAGGCCCACTCGTGAGCCAGGCTAGCTGGCTGAGAAGCTTAAGCCCCCAGAGCCCTGCTTCTGAGCCCACCCAACCTGAAGCCAGTGAACGTGTCACCTCTCTGCTCTCCTCCAGCACCACGCTGGGCAGACAGGTGGTGCCCCTGCTGAAGGGGGCAGGGGAGGGGGCTACGCAATGGCCTGTGCTGGGCACCTGACTGACTACAGAGGTCCCCCGCAGACCGAGTCACACCCTTGCTCCTCTCTGTTGGCGGCAGTCCCTTTATAGGGGCTCATGGCGCCATCCAGGAATGTCTTAGCTCATTTTTTTGGACTCAGTGATTCCACTTCTAAGACTCTCCTACAACTATACTTGCACACGTGGCCAAAGACACGGCGTCCACCCAAAGCCATTCATCCCGGCATTGTCTGTAAGAGCAGCAGATTGAAAACAAGCCAAATGTCTCCCCGCAGGGGCCCGCAGAGCACAGAGCAGTACACAATGGAATACTACATGGTGGTGAAAACAACGTGGTTTAGGAATTCACCTGAACTCATCTAGATAAATATCAACCCTGGGGCACGGTCCCTTTTTCCTTATGCCACCTTAGGGACCAGCCACCCCATGTGCTAGTTCTATGCTGCCTTTCTCAAGGGCTCCAGCATCCCAGGCATCCTCGCACCCGTCATACAAGAGGGGTAAGACCGAGAGGTGAGCTGCATTCTTGTCCAAGAATAGTAATGATTCGTTCCAGGGCGGAATCCAAAAAAGAATCGCCTGGACGTCTGTTTTGAGCTGGCGGTCCTGCTGCCGTCCAGCCGGCACTCAAAGATGTAAATACGTCCTCCGAGCGGGCCAAATCGTTTCCTTTTGACTGTGGTCCAGCCATTTATTGGCGATGGCTCTTCCCTGGAGACCGGCGGAGGCAACAATTATAAAAGTGTCTGACCGCCGGAGCTCTGAGTCGCGCAAGGCTTGCGCTGCCGCCCCCCGCTTCCGACAGCTGCAGGGGAAGATTGGCCGTGCAGGGCTTGTTTGCAAATATGACTCATTTCTTTGATTCTAATAAAGTCTAATGATACGTGCTGAGCTCCCAGGGGCTTTGGAGGAGCCGGGGAGGAAGGCACGGCTCCGGCCTGATGAAAGGCATTGGGCCAGGGCTAACCCCGTCTATCCTCGGAGGCCTATGGGGAAGCAGGGTCCTTGGGACAGAGGCAACCCCAGAAAGCAGGGACTGGGAAGGGGGATGGGGGGGCAGAGCTGTGCTTCCTTATTACAGAGCAACTCAGAGATTAATTACAAAGCCAGCGTGAAATGACAGTCTCTGGGGCCCAGTGGTTTCTCACGGGGACCTAGAGAAGGATGTCTCATCTGCTCCTGCCGAGAATGGTGGTTCAGCGTTGCAGATGGGGTGGGGGGTCTAGGCTGAGAGAAGCCCCCATGGTCACCTGGCAGTGGGGTCACCCAAACGGCACAATGTTACCTGTGACTGGGGCCTCGGGCTCTGAGGACTTCCCTGGGCTTACAGCTGGCGGGGGTGGGGGCGGAAGGGAGGACGCAGACAAGGTTGACTGAATTGGGGGGCCAGTGTGGGAGGTCGGGCTGGGAACTTCGCCACTTCTAACTGGGTGTGTAACCTTGGGCAAGCCACTCGACCTCTGGCCTTGGTGCCCTTATAAACAGTGCCTGGACGCCCTGTCCTAAGCCATCACTTGTCTGAGCTCATTAATCCCCCAGCAAGGCTGTGAGGGGTTGGGGCCGCACTGTGTCCAGTTCACCAAGGAGGAGCTGAGGTTTGGAGAGAGGAGGTGGCTCACCACGTGCATGCAACTCACAGGTGTGGGAGCCCAGGGGTATTACCCACGGTGGCTCCCCCTCCTCGCTGTAAAACTGGAGGGGGAAGAGGGGGCCAGCAGGGATGATCACTAAGAAGCAGTCAGGGAGGAGTCCCAGCTCCAACCCTGCCTCGTTAGCGCTGATGCCCAGGGAGTACCTCTGAGCTCCATCGGTCAACGTTTGCCAGAGGCAAGGTCAGGCCAGGGATCTAAGCATCTGGGGGAGGTAGAAGAAGGGAAAGGAAGCATTAGTTGTAGCTGGGTGGGCGGGGTCAGGGCACTGGAGACCAGTGCAGAAGAGTGACCTCACTGCTCTGCAGCCCAGCTAGGGTTCCAGCCGGCGAAGCTGGGACAATGTCTGGGCAGCCCTACCCAATGCAGACCCTGAGTTACAGTCACCGCAGGGTTGCTGGCTGTTTTCAGGAGAAATCATCTAACGTAAGGTTCACATCAAAGAGAACCCAGACTCACTGATGGCTGAGCCCCCTAAGGCCCGGTACGCAGTCAGCGCTCAATACACGTCCCAGCGTCTCTCTCCTACCTGTATTCCCTGAGTAACGTCCGGAGAAACAGATTCAACTATGTCGCTTTGTTCTCATATGCCTTTCATGGTTCCTCCTCTTATAGAACAAAGCTCAAACTTATCAGCCTAACCTTCCTGGCCTTCCTTTATCACCAGGCCTCAACCCTTCTCCCTGGCTCCACCTCCTGTCACTTTCCCACGAGTCCTAGCTCTGGCCAAAGCAATTATTTGCTGTTTCCAAACACTCACACACTTTCAGAATGCTGTGCCCCTGCACGGGCTGCTTCTGCTCAGAATGTCTTTTCTCTCTCCCTTTCTGCCTAGTGAGCTCCTACTCATCCCTCAAAGTCCAGTTCCCATGGCCCCTTCTTTTGCAGATGGAGAAACAAGGCCAGAGAAGGGTGGTGACCTGCTGCTCCAGGTTGCATAGTCTGGTGGATGCAGACATGAAACTAAGAAGAATCAGCACGGGGTAAGCACTTACCTTTTGCCAGACACTGCTTCAAAATACCCTTACTTAATCCTTTCTGACAGGGTCAGATCATAGTGCACAGAATACCATGAGAGGGTTTGGAGATGGGCAATGACCTGTCCAGACTTACATTTGATTAGAGAGATGCAAGGGTAAAGGAGGAAGAGCAGCGAGGAGCCAGTGCTGATGTCCAGGAGAGTGATGCTGGCGTCCCCCCAGGGACATGGCAGTCCAAGTAGGGAGGGTGGATACACTTTGAAAATAGAGCCAAGAGGATATGTGCATTGAATGTGGGATTTGAGGTAGGAAGAAGAGTTTTTGGCAGATTCCTAGGTAGTTTTCCAACTTAAAGTGTCTGCAAAGATTCACTGGGTGGTGCAGATGGTTAATGTGTTCAGTGGCTAACCAAAAGGTTAGAGGTTTGAGTTCACCCAGTGGTGCCTCAGAAGAAAGGCCTGGTGAACTTCTGAAAAATCATCCATTGAAAACCCTGTGGAGCACAGTTCTCTGACATACATGGGGTTGCCATAAGTTGGAGTCAACTCCACAGCAACTGGCAGTTGTAGTGGCAAATATTAAATAAAAAGTGGGGCAAGTTCCTAGCACAGTGCTCTTGGTGGTCAGCAATTATTCCACATTAGTTCTCTTCTCAATGCTTCATGCAAGGAGAACAGCAGGCTCCTGAAGGCAGGAGGCCACCCTCCCCCAGCCAGCTCACCTCCAAGGTGCCTGGCTCGGGGTTGGAATGAGCTGTTTGACATTCCCTTGCCCCATGTCTGGCCTCGGACTCTTCACTCACACAGGCTGCAGAACTGGGTCTTTCACTTAAGTCTCCTTCCCAGGCTCCTTCTCTGTGGACCCCAGTCCTCCCAGGATTCTAGAAAGATGGCAAGTTATCTGTGGATAGTCAGGTGGTCTCTTGTGGCTCTGCTAGAACCTGGGAGCGTGCAGGTCTCAAAGGCCAGACGGGAAGGAGGCCAGCTCCAGGCAGGCGGCCAGCGCGCCGTGGACAGAACAAATCCATCTGGATCATATAAGGGACTTGGGAAGGTGCCTGTGGAACCGGGAAATGTCCAAAGATAAACAACCATCTCAGCGTCTTCTGTGCCAGAAAAGGAGATGGGGAGCTCGGATGAGGACTATGGAAGGCAGGGGCCCCAGAATCCCCCAGGAGGTCCCAGGGTGGGGGTGTGAGGGGAGAAGGAAAGGCAAGGCCTGGGCACCCCATGACCTCCTGTCTCACGTGAGTAACTTCCCCAGGACCACTCTGGCCTGAAGATCATGGGGAGGCTAATAAAACCACAAAAAAGGCCCCGGTGCAACAGGGGGAGCACCTTACGGGCACTGAAGGAGAAACAGTTCTTAGCCTCAGGAGTCAGCAGCATTCCCTGCCACTGTGGCACTTCCACATACTTCTAAAGGCCCCTCGGGGCAGTTTCAACCCCTGTGAAGACACTAAATAATAACAACAACCCACATATGGAGTCTCTACCAGGCTCTAGGAGTCCCTGAGTGTTGCAAACTGTTCACATGCTCGGCTGTTAGCTAAGTCCACCCAGAGGTGCCTCAGAAGAAAGTCCTGGCAACCTACTTCTGGAAAATCAGCCATTGAACACCCTGTGGAGCGTAGTTCTACTCTGGTGCAAACGGGGTCACCATGCAGTGGAACAGACTTGACCGCAACTGGTTACCAGCTTCTAAGGGCCGGCCATGTGCAATCTCCCTCACTCAGGCCTGCCCGATGGCCCTGGGAGGGGGTGCTATGATACCCCACTTACAGGCAAGGACCCCGAGGCCCAGAGAAGTGAAGGCACATGACCAAGCAGAAAAGGCGGCATGAAGGTTCGACCTCAGGCAGTCAAGTCCGTGCCTGAGGTAAGGCGGCCCTCCCTGGCAGTCACTCACGGAGCAAAGGCGGCCACTGGAGCTGGTGCCCGGGGTGGGTCAGGCCCTGGTTTGTCAGGCCTGTGCCAGGAACACTATAGAAAGGACAGGGCTGTGGCCTCAGGCCCCATTCAAGTGAGAAGAATGACATGCCAGCCTTTCTTTGTCTCAGCCTCCCTAGGCTCCAGGCCCTTGTAAACTCAGCTTGCCAGAGGGTGGGGAGCTGAGGGGGTGAGGAATGTGCTTTTAATACCCTCTTTGTTTGCCAGTAGAAAATATATACACATAAAAAGCCTCCGTTCAACTAGTCCCAGGGACCCATGGGCATATACTGAATGCCCACACGTCATATGAGGGCCATGAGCCACCCAAATGAGGGCTCCACACCCAAGTGAGGGCAGCTGACTCTTCGCCTGTGACTTTCCAGCCCCAGCCCACAGAGTGGCTGAGACCAGTCAGTCGGGCAACTCCCTCCCCTCTGGGTCTGTTTCCCCGGCCAGGGCAGGTGGGCTGTTGTGATTAGCTGCTGTCCAGTCAGCCCTAGACTCATGGCAACCCCAAGTACAATGGGATCAAATTACTGCGATCAACAGGGTTTTCACTGGCTGATTTTCAGAAATAGATTGCCAAACCTCTCTTCCTAGTCCATCTTGTCTGGAAGCTCCGCTGAAACCTGTTCAGCATCATAGCAACACGTAAGCCTCCACTAACAGACAGGTGGTGGCTGCGCACGAGGTGGGTGCGTTGGCCAGGAGTCGAACCCGGATCTCCTGCACAGAAGGTGAGAACTCCACCACTGAATCACCGCTGTCCTCAGGAGGTGGGCAAACATCTTGAAAACAGCAAAGCCACACACAAAAGAGGGAGATGGTAACTAAGGGCCACCCTCTTCCTTTACAGCCTCTGGTGCCCCTGGCTCTCAACACCCCCACACAAGGCCTCAGTTCAGTTATTCCAAGGTTGAGGGCCATAGCTCAGTGCTGAACGCCACATTTACGAGCTCATGAAGAGCAGAGAGTGTACTGTAATAATATATATTTTGATCACCATCCAACCACTGTATTAGGACTTCCCATATAGCAGCTTACTAAGAGTTACCCATAACTCAGACTTCCACCTCTGCATTCCTGGTGCTTGTCCTATTTGTATACCCCTTGTAGAGTTACTGACTAGATTGTGGCACATTGTAAAAAAAAGCCCATAATTCTCCACTCCTCTCATAAAGAGGCAGAGTCTGCTATGGACTGAATTATGTCCCCCCAAAATATGTGTTGAAATGCTATTCCCATTTGGGAATAGGGCTTTCTTTGTTATGTCAGAGAGGCCATATCAGTGTAGGGCGTGTCCTAAACCTCATCCCTGCTGAGTTATGAGAAGCAGCAAAGACACAGAGACAAGAAAGCAGACACAGGGGAAGACATGCTATCTGATGATGAAGGACGAAGATGAACCTATCTACAAGCCCAGGAACTTCATGGATTGCCGGCTACTAGAAGCTGAAATAGACAAGGAAGAACCTTCCCCTAGAGCCACACCTTGAATTTAGACTTCTAGCCTCCTGAACTGTGAGAAACAAATTTCAGTTCTTTAAAGCCACACACTTGTGGTATTTCTGTTACAGTAGCACTAGGTCATCTCTTGAATCTGAGTTCGCCATGTGATTTTCTTGGGTCAATGGGTTATTAGCAAAAATGATGCAAGGAGAGTCTTGAAAAGTGCTTGTGCATTGGGACTTCTCATTTTCTGTTCTTGGAATGCTGAGCCACCTGTGAGCAAGCCCAGGCTAGCCCGCTGGGTAAAGAAACCACATGGCCCAATCTCCCCTAGAGCCCCAGCCAAGAGCCAGCCATTCCCCAGGAGAGCTATCCCAATGGCCTATAGCTAACCCTGATACATGAGGGAGCCCAACCAAGACGAGAACTGCCTCGCTGAGCTCGCCCAAACTGCCAACCAGCAGAACAATGAACTAAATAACTGGCTGGGATGATTGTTACACAGCAAGAGCTAACTGACATATGCAGTTTTTTCACTCTATCTACTCACCTTCTCACTTGAATAACTCCTAAAGCTTCATATAAGCATTTTTCTCTGTGCAATAACAAGTTTGATATGCCATTTGTTTTCTAAAATATAGTAAGAAGACTGTTTCATTTTCAGACAACATATGTTTCATCTAAAGTAACTGCAAGTATGTATTTGGGAAACAATCCTCACAGTGAGGAAGAACGGTTCATTCCCCTCATGTGACAGGTAAAGAAGCCAAGGCTCAGAAAAGGGGGTTGACTTGCCTAAGGTCAAACGGCCAGTAAGTAGCAGAGCTGGGATTTGATTCCAGGTCTGTCTGAGGCCAAGGGCAAGGATATATCTCTAAACCTGTGCCTTCCTCACCCTAAAAGACAGCGACTCCCACATCCTTGGGGAGAAGACGAGGAAGTAGGTTGTCCTCTCTGCCCCCACACCCATGGCCTCTTTCCCCCTCCATGGAGCCAGCCTTACTCCCAGAACTCGATGACAGGGGAGGTGTAGTTGGTGGTGTTGGTGGTGCCGACGGCGATCCACATGCTCTTGTTCTTGCGCATAGTGTCCTCCATGCAGTTGGGAGTGTTCCAGCTGTGGTTGCAGTGCGCCCAGGGCAGATCCGTCTGGAAGGAGTGGAACAGGTAATACATGGCCCAGGCCAGGATGATGATGTAGTACACGTTCAGCAGGGACACGATCACGATGGAGGCGTAGCCAATGCCTGTAGGTGCGGGCAAGCAAGAGGAGCATCAGGAGTGAGGCTGACCCACTATGGTTACATACTCAGCTAGAAAGCCAAAGCATCCCGAGGGGCCTGGGACCAGAAGAGGCCCTTCGACAGTGACCAACAAATTATGTGCAGGATGAATGGATGACTGGATGAGTGGATAGGTGAAAGAATAGATGGCTAAATAAATGGGATGGTTGGATGAATCAAAAAATGGATGGAAGGAGGAATAAACAAACAGATAGTGTTCTGGATTGAATTGTGTTCCCCAAAAATATGTGTTGTAAATCCTAACCTCTATGCCTGTGGTTATAATCATTTGGCAATAGGTTGTCTTTGTTATGTTAATGAGGCAGGATTAGTGTAGGGTGTGTCTTAAATCAATCTCTTCTGAGATATAAAATAGATTAAATGTAAACTAGAAGCAGTAAGATACATGTCAAGACACATGGAGATCTCCAAGGAACCAGAAAGCAGAAGCTGAAGAGACAAGGACTTTCCTCTAGAGCCAACAGAGAGAGAATGCCTTCTCCTAGTAGCTGGTGCTCTGAATTCGGACTTCTAGCCTCCTAAACTGTGAAGAAAAAAAAAATTTCTGTTTGTTAAAGCCACCCGTTTGTGGTATTTCTGTTATAGCAGCACTAGATAACTAAGACAGATGGTTAGACGGGTGAATGGTTGGTTGGTTGGATGGATGAATGGTTAAATAAATGGATAAACTGATGGATGGTTGGTTGGCTGGACGGTCAGATGGATGGATAGATAGCTGAATGGATAGATGTTGGATTGATGGATAAATATTGGATTTGTTGGATGGGTGTATGGATGGTGTTTGGTTGGAAGGTTGGGTGGATGAATGGATGGATAAATAATGAGCGAGTGAATGGGTAAATGGACGGATGGATTGTTGCGTGGATGGATGGTCTAATCATTGAATGGTTTAATGCAAGAAAGGTTCAATAGATGGGTAGATGGAAAGATTTATGTGGAAGGCTGAAGGAATAGACTCATATATACTCTTATCCCTGCTAATTATGCTCATAACTGACTACTTTATGACTGTAGTTGTTATAATGATTAGTAGCTACCATTAATTTGGTGCTTACTATGTATACAAAGCATTTTTACATAGCTATGTCATCTTGTCTTCATAGCAGCCCTATGAAGTAAGCATACTATTTCCATTTTACAGATGAGGATGTGGAGGCACAAAGAGGTTAAGTGACTTTCCCAAAGTCACAAAGCTACCAAGAGGAGGAAGTGGAACTTGAATCCAGACAGAAAGGCTCCTGACCCTGTGTGCTGATCCATCCTTCAACAGTCTCACAAGACAGAACAGCTGGTCCTTAGTGAGAAACTACCCTGTGCCAGCCACTTGCCATGTCTCCTTCCCTCTACTATTAATCAGCAGTGGCAGCAGCAACACAGGTATAATGTGTTGGCTGCTACTTTGTATCAGGCCAGGTGCTGAGCAATTTCATGAGGATTCAATGTGCCTGGCAAATAGTAGCTGCTCAATAAAAACTTGCTGAACCAAACAGAAACTAGATAACTGGGAGCTCCTAAAAATCAAACACTTATGTTCATCAAAACACTTCACCAGAAGAGTAAAAAGACAACCTACAGACTGGGAAAAAATTTTTGGCTACGACAAATACGATCAGCGTCGAATCTCTAAAATCTACAAGACACTACAAAACCTCGACAACAAAAAGACAAATAACCCAATTAAAAAATGGGCAAATGTTATGAACAAGCACTTCACCAAAGAAGACATTCAAGCGGCTACCAGATACATGAGGAAATGTTCACAATCATTAGCTGTTAGAAAAATGCAAATCAAAACTACAATGAGATACCATCTCACCCCAATAAGGCTAACATTAATCCAAAAAACACAAAACAATAAATGTTGGAGAGGTTGTGCAGAGACTGGAACGCTTATACACTGCTGGTGGGAATGTAAAATGGTACAACCATTTTGGAAATAGATTTGGTGCTTCCTTAAAAAGCTAAAAATAGAAGTACCATATGATCCAGCAATCCCACTCACACAAAGAGATATATGCAGCACTGTTCACGATAGCAAAAAGACAGAAGCAACCTAGGTGCCCATCAACGGATGAATGGATAAACAAATTATCGTATGTACACACAATGGAATACTACACAAGGATAAAGAACAATGATGAATCTGCAAAACATCTCATAACATGGATGAATCTGGGAGGCATTATGCTGATGAAATGAGTCAGTCACAAAAGGACAAATATTGTATCAGACCACTATTATAAGAACTCAAGAAAAGGTTTAAACACAGAAGAAAACATTCTTTGATGGTTACGAGGGTGGGGAAGGAGAGAGGGGGTATTCACTAACTAGATAGTAGATAAGAATTATCTTAGGTGAAGGGGAGGACAACACACAATACAGGGGAAGTCAGCACAACTGGACTAAACAAAAAGCTAAGAAGTTTCCTGAATACAACCATACACTTCAAGGGACAGAGTAGCAGGGTTGGGGGGTCTAGGGACCATGGTTTCAGGGGACATCTAGGTCCATTGGCATAACAAAGTTTATTAAGAAAATGTTCTGCATCCCATTTTGGCGACTGGCGTCTGAGGTCTTAAAAGCTAGTGAGTGGCCATCTAAGATACATCAATTGGTCCCAACACCTGGAGCAAACGAGAATGAAGAACACCAAAGACACAAGGAAAATATTAGCTGAAGATACAGAAAGGGCCACATAAACCAGAGACTCCATCGGCCTGAGACCAGAAGAACTAGATGGTGCCCGGCTACCACCAATGACCACCCTGACAGGGAACATAACAGAGAGTCCCTGACAGTGCAGGAGGAAGTGGGGTGCAGAACTCAAATTCTAGTAAAAAGACCAGACTTAATGGTCTGACTGAGACTGGAGGGACCCCAGGAGACACGGCCCCCGGACTCTCTGTTAGCCCAGAACTGAAACCATTCCCAAAGCCAACTCTTCAGACAAAGATTAGACTGGACATAAGACATAAAATGATACTTGTGAAGAGAGTGCTTCTTGGCTCAAGTAGATACATGAGACTAAATGGGCAGCTCCTGTCCAGAGGTGAGATGAGAAGGCAAAAAGGGACAGGAGCTGGCTGAATGGACATGGGAAATCAGGGGTGGAAAGGAGGAGTGTGCTGTCACAGTATAGGGAGAGCAGTAGGGTCACATAACAATGTGTGCATAAATTTTTGTATGAGAGACTAACTTGAACTGTAAACTTTCACTTAAAGCACACACACAAAAAAGAAGCTTGCTGAACTGATGAACACTAGGTCCCCAGTGACCTCGGTCCCATACTTACCAGTGAACAAGGGGCAGATCTTTTCCCAGCAGGTAATGCCCCCTTGGGAGGTGTACTGGCCAATGACCACCTCCAGGAAAAACACAGGCAGGCCGCCGCCAAACAGGAAAATGAAATATGGTATGAGAAATGCACCTGCAGAGAAAGCAGAGCAGGGCAAGGTTGGTCGGGCTGTGGATGCCGTGGGGCTGATGCTTCTGGGAACCGCAAGTAGAAGATGCTCGCTCCCAAGCCCCTATAGCCAGTAGAATCAGAGACAACGAGTGAGTGATGTGAGGAACATGAGCTTGAGAATTCTGCAGGCCGTGCACACCTGTGTGGCTGGCATCCTCTTTGCAGTGTGCCTGTGACTTCTCAAACATGCCAGGGCCTCTGAGCCTTTGCTTAAGCTGCACCTGACTGCCTTCTCGCATCCATCCATCTGAATAAGTCCTGCTCAGCCTTTGAGACCAATCTCAAAAGTGACTTCCTCGCTGAGGCCTTCACCTACCTTTCCCCAGGGTTGTCCAGGGCAGGAGGCTGAGAAGAACTATCGGGAAGGGTGCAGTGTCAAGAAGCAGGAGGAGGGTGTCTCCAGCCAGGGAGTGGGAGCCAGGAGAGGAATGAGGGGCAAAGAATCGGGTGGAGCCCCGGGCTGGTGTCCACTGATGGTTTCAGTGGGTCCATGAACGCTTTGAAGCTGTATAACCTGGGTCTATGAGTATGTGCTTTGTTCTGGGGAGCAGCTAGGGCACTCAGAGTCCCAAAGGGGCCTGAGACCTACAAAAGGCTAAGAAACACGCTCCAATGTGGACTTCCCCCAATGTGGTGACACATGGCATGCCAGCTGCCGACAGAGGGGCATGTGTGACTGGCATCAGGCAGTGATGTGAGGGAAAGCAGCCCCTCTCATTGCATCAGTGAGCACGACTCTGTTCGGTACTGCCTATCTTTACCACCACTAACAGGAGAAGATAAACAGAAAGAGGATTCTAGCACAGAGCCTTCAGCAGGCTAAACCACACACAAACACACAAAACCCAAAAAACTCCCGAATCAACCAACCAACCAATCAGAGACCTCATATTAAAAAAAAAAACACAAAAAACTCTTCACGGCATTTTGTTTTTCTGGATATCTTTCCATTATGGCAAACAATGGTGGATTTCCATTTACTAGGGAAAACAAAGCTTGCTTTTGAACTACATTTGCTTGAAGTTAGAAAACCTGTTACCGATGAGTTGACTCCGACTCCTAGTGACCTATAGGACAGAGCAGAACTGCCCCATAGGGTTTCCAAGGAGTGGCTAGTGGATTCGAACTGCCAGCCTTCTGGTTAGCAGCCGAACTCTTAACCACTGAGCCTCCAGAGCTCCTATGTTAGACGCAAAAGCAACCGTAAGGAAAGACATAAAGTAAGGACCCATCAGGAGGCACGTGGATACAGGGAATCTTGTGAAGGGGGCGTGTGAATGTCTGAGGCTTGGGAGACGTGGGTCTGGCCTAGTCCCACTTCTTCAGAGATGGCAAACTGGAGGATCAGAGAGGGAGAAGGACCTGCTGAAGGTCACACAAAACCCCAAAGAGCACTACCTGAGTCCACCTGTGTTGGAGTTGAGGCGGGAAGGGGTCAGGGTGGGGACAAGTTTAAAAAAAAACCATTGCCATCAAGTCAATTCCAAGGTACCTATGCTTGGACCCCACCCATCCTCTCCCCTCCCGAGGCCTGGCCACAGATTACCTCCACCATTTTTGTAGCAGAGGTACGGAAAACGCCAGACGTTGCCCAAGCCGATGAAGCCACCAGCCACAGAGAGCACGAAGTCGATCTTGCTGGACCACTTCTCCCTCTGCGGGTGCTTGCCTTCTGCCTCATCCTCGGGCCTCGTTCCTGGACTCTTCCCTGGTGACGGCTTCAGGATGTCCTTGTGGAAATCTTTCAGGCACTGCAGCTTCTCCTTGGTGGCCATCTCCTCGCTTTCTATGGGGACAAAACAGAATCCAGCAAGCGGTCAGTTGACAAGGCATCACCACCTCTTCCTTCTCACCCTGAGCTGGCTCTGACCTGCCTGGGCTGTGGCCGGGGGCCACGCTCTCCCCGACTGCCCACTACTCTGACCACAACACCCTGAGCCAGCCGGATCCCCTGGTATCAGGGACCTCATGATTCAGGCTGGGGATGCTGGAGACACTTAGGACCCACAGAATTGACAGGCTCCATTCCCTGGGCACCTGCTGAACTGAGGCACTGGGGATCCTGAGGGTTACACTTCAGTCTGCAGCTACTGGCAATTAAGGGATCTAAAATCATCTATATGAGAGCAAACGATCAACAATTACTTTAAAACAAAGATGAGAATGTAAGGGGGTGAGGAAACTAGATTAATGGAAATAGAACAACCAGAACGGAAATGAGAATGTTCACGCACTGTGAAGAATGTAACCAACGTCACTGAACAACTTGTCTAGAAATTACTGAATGAGAACCTAAACTGCTGTGTAAACCTTCACCAAAAACACAATCAAATATTAAAAAAAGAAGGGATCAATCCGTCCCAGTGAGGGTTATGTCAAAGGGCTAGCCATCCTCCATCTGCCTCCCTTTCACCCATTCCCTGTCTGGCTCTGGGACTTGGGAGGCTTATCCCATTATGGCACCTCCCACCCCCAGGCTCCATGCCCTTGGCTCCCTGTTGGGTTCAGCCAATGGGAGGCCCCAGAGGAGGTCAGAGAGTGAGAAAACCAAACCAAACCCATTGCCATCGAGTCAATTCCAACTCATAGCAACCCTACAGGACAGAGTGTAACTGCCCCATAGGGTCTCCAAGGCTGTAATCTTTACAGAAGCAGATTGCTGCATCTTTCTCCCTCAGAGAAAATGGTGGGTTTGAACCGTCGAACTTTAATTTAGCTGCGGAGCTCTTAACCACTGTGTCACCAGGGCTTCTTCAGAGAGTGAGAGAGGAGGGGTATTTTTCCCCTACCTCCCCCTGTGTTGTAACATATTTCTGGTGGTAGCTGTGACTCTTCTTGACCACAGTCCTGTCCGTGGCCCCTCCATGGCTCCAGACCTCTCTCCAGATTCTGTTATAAGCTCCCTCTGCTGCACCTTCAGGCCTCCAGGTGCTAACAGCTCCCACCACTGCCAAGCTCTGGGTGCTGCATCATCCCCCCTCTCTCTACTGGCTTCCCTTAACCCTGCCCAGTCAAGTCTCTGGAACCTTTCAGTCAGGCCTTGAGTGATCCAGCAGTCAAGTCTCTAAGTCCCCAGGAGCTGCTCACGGTCACCTCCATCCTGTCCCCACCCGGACACCACTCTGAAGGGGGTCTGCCACCAGCCAGGGCACAGCCGCCTCTTACTGAGCTTCCTCGGGTCCCTGAGTCTGCACCCTCCCTGGCAGCTCGACCCTGAGGGCCACAGTCTCATCTGGCAGCTTCAATCCAGGCCCAGAGAACTGACCAGGGCTTACCAGGAACATCAGAGGCCCAGCCCAGAGGGAGAGGACAGGACAAGGCTGGGTCCCTGCCTTCAAGGGTTTACCTTGAAATGGCAGAGGGCTATAGAAGACAGAAAGGCGAGCTGAGAAAAACCAGAGCTAGCGTGCCTACTGAACCCTCTCTGCGCTTGTTTCCCCATCTGCAAAATGAAGTGAATGACGGCAAAGGTGGCCGACTCACAGCCAAGCCGCCTGGGGCATAACTTGTCTTTACGATCCAAACTGGTGGCCAACATTGAAATAGCAGAAGAATTCAGGGTTCTCTTAAAATATTGGAGGGTCTGGCAACATGGGGCTCCTACTTTCTCAGGGCGACCATCAGCTGGAGCTGATGTGGCCACCCTTCACGCAGGCAACCTCAAGCCAGTCCCCCCACGTGACGGACTCGCCTATCTGGTTCCAGTAGGCATCCGAACTTGTCTTTTCGTCAAAGCACTTACCAGAAACAAACAAACAAACCCATTGTCGTCGAGTCGATTCCAACTCATAGCCACCATATAGGACAGAGTAGAACTGCCCCATAAGGTTCCCAAGGAACGGCTGGTAGATTCGAACTGCCAGCCTTTTGGTTAGCAGCCAAGCTCTTAACCACTGCGCCACCAGGGCTCCTGAAAATACCCTGTTCATTTACTTGTGTCCTTGTTAACTGACTCCTCCTCAACTAGAATAAAGGATGCAGGAGGGCAAGGACCCTGTCTGCCTTGCTCATGCTGTGTCCACCATGATGGCACACAGCAGCTGGTCATGCAGGAGCTGATGGCTCACAGAGAGGAATCTTTGAGCTGGCAGGACCAAATCTGAATCCTGGTGCCACGTCCCGCCTGTGAGCTCGGGTGAGCCCCTCAGCCTCAGGGCCTCCCTTCCCTTGCTGCCATGCAGGGGAGGCATTCCAAGGTCGGCTCCCGTAGGGCCAGGCAGGGCCAGGCAGGGCCGGACAGCGGCTACGTGAGGACTCAGGGCGTGTGGAGGGGACACGGGGACAGTGTGGGCCTGGTGGCAGCAGCCAGACCCATGTGGGGTCATACTAATGAGCTGAGACACGGCAGCACACAGAAACTCGTTTCCCCCACACCTCCTTCCTCTCCTGGGCTGGGGTGGGGACTCCTGATTGTTTAACTATCTGGCGGCGAGCAGAACAAGAAAAGGTTTCCTGGAGGGACTTGCCACTCACTGAGACCTTGCCCGGCCCCTGGAGTGCAGACGCTCGCCTCCGCGGCGGCCCTGAGTTGGCACCCGCCGTGCCTTTCCCTGCCCTGCTCCCTTGGGGTGAGGCTCAGGCCTGGCCGGCGGCGGCTCCTGCAAAAATAGCCCTAGTGGTGTGCGCATTGTTCCAGGGCTGATGTGCGCCTGATGCTTATCTGAAGACCCATTGTGGCCCGCTCCACAGAGCATAATTGAAGGATGTAGGACTCAACTCCCTCCTCGTGAAGATGTTGTTGAGGGAATGACCCCCAGGGCCTCCGCTCCCAAAAGGGCTGGGGCCAGCTCGGATCACAGGGCTGGAAGGGGCTTCCCAAGTTCAGCCAAGACTTTGGATTTAAGGGGGGCAGGGATAGCATCAGCTTCTTCTCGCATTCCAAGTGAGGGGCTCCCAACCTCACAGTAGGTCTTCCCACTAGAGCTGGGTCAGCTGCCCTACAGTGACCTGGAGGGGCCTGGCTCTGCCTTCTGGACCCCCAGGCCCACCTGCCACACTGGCGCTCAGGGAATGTTCAAGAAACTTGGGAGACAGCAACTGCAGTTCCCTAGACTGCTTTGCTCCAGGCTCTGGTTTCTTACAAAACAAATTCTCCAGCCCCTGCCACACTGGGCACGTCCTCTGGTGGGACTCACTTTCCAGACTCCCATGGCTGAGGCAGGAAGTGTGTGTGTGTTGGGGTGGTGGTGGTAGGGGGAGTTTGAACAGGCAGGGCAGGGCAGGGGCCCGTCCTATGCCTGGTGCTGTGGAGGCCTCTCTATGCCTCTTTCCCATGGCGCATTGTGGATAGCTCCCATAGGCCCACCTGCCCTTGGACAAGGCACAGCTGGCACTGCCTCTGCCCCCACCTAGGCTTGCCATCCACGTCTCTGCCCACGGCCTCACCCAAGCGTACATGGGGTCCAACAAGGTCGGACACAGATTCAGGCACCCCCAGTGCCTTCTGGGGTGTCTGACCAGACCTGTGTCTGTAAAAGCCCATTTCAGTGAGACCCGCAGATGCTACCTCCTGAACATTCCTGGCAGCCACCCACATCTCCCTGTTACCATGGCAACCACCGTGCTCAGGGTGTCAGCCCTCGCATGGGCATCTGCATAGCCTCCTTGTAGGTCTCCCCGCTGCCACTCTGCACACCCCTCCAATCTATTCTTGACACGGCAGCTGAAGGGAACTCATCACAGCACACATCAGACCATAACGCCCTCCCAGCCCAAACCCTCCCGTCACACAAAGCTCCTCATCCAAGCCCCTCCTGACTGTCAGGCCCCATCTGCTAACCCCCCTTTCTCTTGGGGACACCGGCCTTTAGTCCCTCCCAGGCCTCAGGTCCGGGTCACCTCTGATCCTTCCCACTTGCTGCTGTGACCTCCACCTGCTCCAGGCCCTTCTGGGGGCAGCCTGGCCCTTCCAGGGATCTGAGAGTGTGAGCCCTAGCCTAGATGCTGAGAGCTACTTCCTAGCTGGGTGACCTCAGGCAAGTTACTCAACCTCTCTGGGCCTCAGTGCCCTCATCTATAAAATGGGCATAACCATGCCTACCTCATAAGGATGTTGTGAGGATTAAGAATGGGAGGGGTGCAGAGAATACACTTAGAACAGCATTTGGCACATGACAGGTGCTCCATGAATAGTACCTGTCGGTGTTATTACTGCTACAATTATTATCAAGCCCACGCCTGACCTTAGGATTCATATGGCCTTAGCCCTACTTAGGGTGAGATCAGCAAGGCCCAGAGACACCAAAGGACACTCCTGAGGTCCCTCAGCTAGTAGCGGCAGTGACCAGTGATGTTGCGCCCAAGCAGTCAGCTTCTGCCCAGTCACTGTCCCTCTGCCCACCTGGCCTGACTTCAGACAACAACTTCCCTGGAATATCTCTGTCCACCTTTGCAGACTCACAAATGGCCCATTAGTTCTCACCCATCAACCCCAGCAACCCACTGCCCCGTGTGCAGTAAGTGCTTGGGAACAAATCCCCTCCACACACATTTGAGCAGCCTGCTTCCCTGCCATCCACCAACTAGAGATGGAGCTGTTTTTCTTGGCACTGGGCCCAGGGTTATTTTGTAGCAGCTGAGACACATAATTCCCCATTTTAAGAGCTTCCTCTTTGGTTATTACAGCTACAAGGGATTAGAGTTGGCTCCGATAAAAAGGCTCCAGGATGAAGCCTCCCTCCTTGCCTCGCTGAAAATTCTCCTTGTCTCCGTTCCAGGCACTGCAACCTGACCCAGCCATGCCTGAAGACCACTTTGCTGATCATCTGGTCAGTTTGGCACAAATGT